AGAATGGCTAAGACTGTGGCTCCCCTCTCCTATGTGGGTGGGAGCCTAGGCAGACCCCCTCAGCCCAGTCTGGAAGCCCCGTGTATAGTTTTGTCATTGTCTAGAAAGACATGCCTTAGAAGCCAAAGGGATGGCGCCCACAACGTTCTGCACTCTCCATGGTGGGCAAACCTCAGACAGACTCCAGAGTGAAGATGGGAGAAAGGCTTTGAAGGGCATCTTTTAAGCTAAAAGAATTGTTTTCCTCTTTAATAGCCTATCTTTCAGGATGTAATTTGCTCCCCCCTCATTAGTTGTTTGGATATAATATTCTCCACATCTCAACAACTGAACATGACTCCGTTTCTAGTAGAAATTTCTGTGTTGTTCTCTCAGAATGCCAACAATGAAGCAGGGGGAAAGAGTGGTGGTGGGGGGAAGGAATCTTGGCATAATGTTGTGAAATTAGACCATGGAAACCCTAACAAACCCCTAAGTAAGTGTGACCAGAAGCTTCCTATTATATTTATAGTTCAGGAAATATTGTCTCTTCAGCCTGTAGAAACAAATGGGCCCCGGCACATTTCGGATGCCTTCTCCTTTTACAAGGCTAGGATCACAGACAGACTCTGCAGCCTTCGGCTGAGGCTAGATGTCTTCATAAAGCCCTCAGGGTGACAGAGATTTTTTTTTTCCTAGGTAAGTTCCTCTGCAAAAACAACCCCAAAAGAATGCACAAGAAAAAAACAACTTTATCTACAAAACAAGCAGATAACCAGTCATCCTCTTTATGATGCTTCCTATGAAAATAGGAAGAAAAAAAATTCCTCCAATACCGCTCACATAGGTCTGCCTGGATGCTGTATTTTTTAAAGTCGTTTAACCCCATGTGTGTTGGCTTGCTCTCTTAAACTCTAAAGTTTTATGATAATTACAATAGACAGAAATAAGCAAGCTGACAATATTTATAGCCCATATATTTTTTTAATGCATGGGAAAGATTCCCCCATATTGTATGATACTGGTCCAGAGACTTTCTGCCCATTCCCACACCCCAGGGTGGGATGCGATCACGTAAGTGGTATGGACACTTCCTCCAGGCAAGTTACCTAGATGAACCTGTCAGGAGCCCTATCCCTCTTTTTTCTGCCACTAATTTTAGTCACCAAGAAATTACTCATGCAGGATCACCAAATCAGTAACTAAAGTAAAACCCTTAACCCAGTGTTTTCCATTAAAGAACCTGAAACTCAGAGCAGCAGAACAAAGACTCCAGAATTCTCACTAACACATAATAAAAGAGAAGCCAAATAAAGTCAACATTCTGGTTCTGACTAAGATACAGAACCAGCTTCCTAAGTGCTGAACTATCAATGCTCACTTTAATAGGTTACATGAAAGGACTTCAGAGATTCGCCTTCCCACTACTCAAGAGGAGTGGCACTTGTGGGAGGGTTTCAATTTTTCAAAAAACTTTCGAGGTTTTGCTTTCTGGACCTCTGAGTTTGGGGACATCTGTTGGACTTAGGTTGAGTCAAAGTGGCCTCTGCACAATAAAATTTGTGGAAATTCCAAATTACACATTAAATGTTTCCACTTGAAGGACTTTACAGTCAGCACTTGCAGAAAATTTCCCTAAGGAGAAAAGCATTTGGAGACAGAAGATCCCAATTTCTGTTTCATTTCTGGATTGGAGGAGTTGGCTTAGCTCTTCATCCAGGATGGGGAAAATCTGCTAAACCCCTTGTGGGTACCCATTCAGAGAAAGGACCCAGGATAGGCCACAGGGTCCCCAGTCATGGCTTTGCCACTGAAGAATGTAGGGGGTTGGGGCCAGAAAGGGTGGCTGAGACCAAGCTGCAACTGTACCCAGGAAAAATTTATCTCACCCATTGGTGCAATATTGGGAACTGTTTTGGAAATCATAGATTATGTAAATTTCCTGGGATCAAACAGAAAGAGCAGCTAACAAAAGAAAGGCGGAAATCTCCTACTGACAAACGACCAATTTCTCCCCTAAACTACCCTTTATGATGTGTGAGGAAAAACAACCTAATGGCTCTGGGGGCTTTTAAGTTGGGCATTGAAGACACTTCGATTTCCCCTCAAACTTCAGGGCACAGTTTGCAACAGAGACTTTGCCTGTATATTGAGGGGGAATAAATTTCTCTAGTCTTACGTGTTATCTAGGGAGATGACTAAGTTGCCTTTTGAGGGTCCTGTGCCTGGATGGTTTAATTCTGCAAAGTAGGAGAGGAAAAGGAAAGAAGAGAGGGCGAAGAAAGGCAAGGCGGAAGAAAAGAAAGCGCTGCAACTCCTTTCATTTAGACTGGGGATTCAAAGACTAAAGTTAAATCCGGCCATAAAGTTTATTGCTTCAGACTCACAGGCGGGTGAGAACAATCTCCCCGAAATAAAAAGAACGTGCAGGCAAACAAGGTTCAGGGCCTCATCCCGGGTGGGGGCGGGGAGGGGGTGCCTAGCCCTCCCCCCAGGTGGGGACCTGCGGTCCCCAGCGTCCCGCGGGTGCCCGCGGCCTGGCAACCCTGGGGCCCAGCCCGGAGGTGTGCCCCGCCGGCCCCTGCCACCCTCGGGCTCTACCGAGCCGGCCTGCGACCCGGCCCCGAAGGCCGTCGCCTCGATTCAATGCTGCCAAATGACCCCGGCCCGCGAAGACGTATTGCCACAGCCCCGTAAGGAATCCCGCCAGAGTCCTCCTCGGCCCTGCTCGGGCCTTTCTTTCAAACTCCCCAGCGCGCCCGGGCGCAGCGCGGCCTCGGCGCCCGCGGCCCGCGCCCCCCGGGGCTCCCAGCCCCCACCCAGGGCTCCGCAGACCCCGCAGAGCCCGGCCCGCCAGTCCCAGGATGGGGGCGACCCTGCCCAGTCTCCGCATGCAGGCCCACTCACACACAAAAATCATCTTTTTGCACGCCGGCGAGAGCAGCGGAAGTCATTAACATCCGCGCTGGTGCAGCAATTAAAGTTAGGCCTGGGGATGCGGCGCGGCCACTGGCGCCTTGCACCGTGGTGCCTCCGAAGCTAGCTCCTGGCGCTGCTCCTTTGAGCCGAGGGAAAGTCTGCTCTCCCCTTTGGAATTCTGAGGCAACCCCAGAGTTACTGAACCAGAGAGAGAAAGAAAGATGGAGAAAGAAAGTTTTCAGAGTACAAATAAACTTGAAAGCGCTCAGGGGACGAGCTTACCTTAACTCGGAGGTAGCCATTTTTCAGAGAGTTTTGAGAACTTGTGGTTTGGACACTTCTGGACCTAAAATTGACAATTTGAATGACCAGGCGGCACACGTAGCCTGCAAAAGAGTCAAATGGAGTCCAGCGTCAGTGAGATTATATGTTATGTGGTATATAATGTTGGATGTCAACTCCCCAAAACCATAAAACTTACTTTAATGGCCCCACGTGACGTTTTATAGCCAGTGAGCCGATCTGTCTGTGCTATGGATGATTTTACGATCTAATTCATAGACAAAACCCTATTCATTTGGCACCCAAATGTCATATAGCCGGAACTGGGGCTTATAAAGTTTACTGTTTTATAACTTTTAAAAGGAAAGACGGCATCAGTGTAAGCAGTCGGTAAATGTGCAAATCTCTAGTTGCTGCTTTAGCTGCTCTGAGGAGTTTCCCACTCAAGCTAGGATGGGGTAAGTACCTTCCATTTGTAGCAAATTAATTGTAGCAAAAGAAGCCAACTGGGTTCAGGAGGGCGAGGAGTGGGAAACAGTGCCTGGGTGGGTTAGGGGTAGAGGGTCTGGGGGCCACAACTTGACACAGCAGCCTTTTCAGCAAGTGGAGGCCTAGGATGGCCTTCAGAGAGAGGCAGCAACTGTGTGGGCCCCTGAGGGCCGCTAACAAAGCCCTGGGCTTTTTCTCCTTTTTCTCTCTTTTTTTTTTTTTTGGTACCCAGCCAGTTAACTTGGTTTCCTCAGAAACGGGCAGGTTAAACTCAGGCTTTACAAGCACCTAAGGCTTTTCTACCTCCTGCCCTGAACTCTCTGCTGGGTCAGAGTTAGGGAGGCCGCGGGTCAGGCTGCTGGTTTGAGGTCCCCTTGCACAAGCAGGCTGCTCAGGTAGCCACAGACTCACTGCCTCCCCGCATCAGACAGACAGACAGAAGAGCAGAAAGAGCCGCTTGCTATTTGGCACAAACCAGACCAAGAGAACTTACAATAGAAAGTTTATTTTTTGTTTCCAGTCAGTATTTTTTCCTTAAAAACAAATACCAAAAAAAAAAAAAAAGCTGATCACAGTTTGCTTAAACAGCCAGACTTGGACAATATTTGTAACTTTGTTCACAAAAACATACATCACTGAAGCTGCGCTTATAAGAGCCACTTCCAGAGTTCGTGCAAAGGGTCCTACAAAGGCACGCAGGGACACACCGCTCAGAGTCACAGTTTTCGTCACAGAGTCACTAGTCACTACACGTCGAACAAGTTAAGTTGTGTCTCATCAAGTCACCTCTACAACAGCATTAATTACACAAGGAATATAGGTAGTTTGAATAAAAATATCTTTAACAGCTTGGAGCTATTGAGACAGGGACACTTCCACTCACATGCACAGTTAAACAACTGGAGTGCAACACACAACATTGGCACTAAACGAGGTCGAAGGGGGACTTTTTGTGTGTTTTTTTCTCTTTTCTTTTTTGTTATAGTTACTTCAAGTAACACAGCTTGCTTCATATAAATAAGTTAAAACATCTATTTTTTTTTTCAAGACAAAGCCATTCAGGACAAAGAGATGAACAGAAAGCATATCTACTTATACAGGCGCTATAATGGCAATAAACAGGCTCATGATTAAAAGATGAATTAGAGCAACGAGAACAGGGCTTCTTCACAGAAGGAACACAAGGGAATTTCAGAAAGTCACCTTAGTACTGACACTACGCGGGATCCGCTAATACTGCTCAGTACTTTAAACGCTCAAATACTCAGGGGCGGAAGGCCCCTCCCGCCGCCGCCATGCTCATGCTTTTCAGCTTATTATCTTTTTTCCACTTCATTCTCCGGTTTTGGAACCAGATTTTAATTTGTCTCTCCGAGAGGCAAAGAGCATGTGCTATTTCAATCCTTCTTCGGCGGGTCAGGTAGCGGTTGAAGTGGAACTCCTTCTCCAGCTCCAGGGTCTGGTAGCGCGTGTAGGCCGTTCGGGCCCTTTTGCCTTCCGGGCCGCCTATGTTGTCTGCAACAGAAAAGTCAGCGGTTTAGCCACCCACTCCTCAGCCTCTGACTACCAAAAAGTCCACCAGCTGGAACTGCCAGGGTCCTGGACAGGGAACAGGGGGAAAAAGCTCAACAAGTCCTCCCTCCTCGCCCGCCCACCCACCCCTCCCGAATTTCCTTCCCTCTTCCTTTCTAGAGAGAAAACAATACGGTTTGGACTCTGGGAACAATCGGCCCATCCGAGGTTGAAGCCGCGTCCCCGGAGGATCAGCCGGCTTTTCCCCCGTCCCTCTCTTGCCCTTTGGACCTGCCTCTGGCGTCCCGAGGCAGGGCACAGCCCTCTCAGGCTGCCCGACACTCAGACACCCACCAAAACAAGGCCCGTTTCTGTGAGCCCAAGTGGCCTCCAGGTCACACTCAAAGTTCCAGCCCCGCGAGGCGCCTCCTGTTCCAGCCTGCACGCTTAGGGCGCCTGCTTTCTTTTTTTTTTCCCTCCCCCTTCTTCTTCCCTTTCCTTTCCTGCTCTATCCTCCTGCGCCCAAACTTCAGAATCTCTCCAGCTCTCGCCTCGATGATTCTCCCCCAAGCCCCTTTTCGGGGACTCTAATTAGTAACGCTGTTTCCCCAGCGTAGCCCTCCTCATAAATTATCCGCCCTGACAAGCCCGATTCACGGCCCCTACTGCCATCCTCTACCCCTCTGCTCCCTGCTCGACTGGCCTGACCCGTCAGCGCGTTCCGAGGCGCTGGGGTTCGATATGTTCTTGTTTTTCTTTTCCCCCCTCTTTCAACGTCTAAACTTGCCTGGCCAACGGCCCCTTCCCCCGCAACCCCCCATTTGTGAGCGCCCAGCGCTGCAAAGAGGAGGAAGAAGGAAGGCAGGGGAAGGAGAACGGCGGGGAGAGGCTCCACCGGGCTGGGAGAGGGGAAACCAGGAGAGACCGGGAGAGAGAGGGCGGTAAAGGAGATGGGAGGGGGACCGAGAGTCGCACCCCCGCGGCTGGATTTAGGAAAAGGCTGGCTTTACCATGACTTATGTGCAGCTTGCGCATCCAGGGGTAGATCTGGGGTTGGGCGGGCGGCGCCGGGCTCGGCTCGCTCTGCGCGCTCGCCTGCTCGCTGCTGGCGGGGGCGTCCTCCTCGGCTCCGGACGCCGTGCCAACCCCCTCTCTGCTGCTGATGTGGGTGCTGCCGGCGTTGGCCGAGGCGCCGCTGGAGTTGCCCAGGGAGTTTTTCCCGCCGTGGTGGCTCTCGCTGCCGGGCGAAGGGGCCACGGCGGAGCAGGGAAGCGGGTCGGGCGGAGGCGAGTGCGTGGACGTGGCCGGCTGGCTGTACCTGGGCTCGGCGGGCGCCGCGCTGCCGCCGGCCGCGTAGCTGCGGGCGCGCTCCCCGGAGCCAAAGTGGCCGGAGCCCGAGCGGCCGACGCTGAGATCCATGCCATTGTAGCCGTAGCCGTACCTGCCGGAGTGCATGCTCGCCGAGTCCCTGAATTGCTCGCTCACGGAACTATGATCTCCATAATTATGCAACTGGTAGTCCGGGCCATTTGGATAGCGACCGCAAAATGAGTTTACAAAATAAGAGCTCATTTGTTTTTTGATATGTGTGCTTGATTTGTGGCTCGCGGTCGTTTGTGCGTCTATAGCACCCTTGCACAATTTATGATGAATTATGGAAATGACTGGGACATGTACTTGGTTCCCTCCTACGTAGGCACCCAAATATGGGGTACGACTTCGAATCACGTGCTTTTGTTGTCCAGTCGTAAATCCTGCCTGATGACCTCTAGAGGTAAACTCGTGCACTAATGGGGGAGTTGGGTGGAGGCGAGAGGGGTGGCTCGCGCGCCCCAGGCGCGTGCCCGCCGCCCGCCGCCGTCGTTCAGTCGGACTCGAGCGCCACCCGCTGGAGGCAGAGCGCATCGCTCCGCTTCCGACCCGGGGCTGCGAGGGCCGGGGTCGAATTGAGGTTACAGCCCATTATGGCAAAATTATTGCATTTCCCTCGCAGTTCCATTAGGATGTACCAATTGTGAGGCCGTCAGCTGCCGATCGCGTGCCCGGCGAGGATGCAGAGGACTGGGGAAGATGGTGACTTGAATTTTATTTACAACAACTTTATTTCCCCGCTGTGTAGCCCCTCTTATTTTTTGTGGCGAGATTGGGGTCGGTTCTGCCCGTCGTGCCGACAGCTCTGAAATTTGAAAATACAGATATCACCTTCGGGGAAGGGGGGAGGCCATTTAGCCAACTGGAGAAATAAATCCTACCCGCAGCAGCAGTTACAATTATGGCTCTGTTTTTTCGAGCGCGTGAGGGGCAGTGTCCCTGCCGCTCTTAAATGACAGGCGTCTATTAAAGATAGCTTTTGTGTAGTGTTTCTCCGAGGCGAGGTCAAATTCCATACACTTTTATAACCAGAGTCGATTTTTCTTGCGTGTAAATATGGTTCTCCTGTCATTAGTTTGCTATTTGATTTGCTTTGAGTATCCAGCTTGGAGAATCTTCACCACCCAGTCCCTTTCCTGTAGCCAACCGGGCCCCAAGTCGGAGGGTTCTCGGTGAACCCAGAGAGTGGGCCCAGGCTCCTCATAGCCACAGAAGCTGTTTGGGGCTGGGGATCCGTGGGCCGAATTATTAGGGTCTTGTTTAGACCTCCAGGAGTAAAATGAGGGCGCTAATGAAAGCATTTTGTGGCAGTGCCTAGTACCTCCGTGGTTATCTTTCTGGGTTCTGAAAGACGAAAGTAAATCACAAATATAGCCTAAAGGCGAGGCGGGGGAGTTTCCCCGTTGGAGGCCAAGCATCTCAGGCGCCCCTGGCACGTTTGAAAACCAGGAGTCTTGCGGCTCCCATGGCTCTGGGCCGTCTCCTTAGGTCCTGAAAGCTGTTGCGGTGGCAGCGCCGGCGCTGTCGGAGGCGGGGAGCCGGAATCCGGAGCTCAGAGCCTTCGGGGAGCCCAGTCGCTTCCAGGGCTGTGAAGTTCCACCCGTGCCCAGGTTGGCTTGGCTGGGCTGAGGTTGCTTCTTCTCCACGGACGGTTGTGCGCGGGGCCGAGAGACAAGCCTCTCTCTCGGTCCCCCTTTGTTCCTCGCGCGTCTTCCTGTCTGGGGACGGCCTAGAAGGCCACGGCAGAGCTGGGGCCCCAGACTTTAGGCCCCCTCTTCCCAGTGGTCGGGGTTGATTTGGTGATCAAGATCTCTGGGACTTGGTGGCGAGGAACTGAGGCGGAAACACGCCCAGATACCAAAACGGGCTCGGTCCCCGGGTTCTTTCCTCTCCAGTAACCCAGCGACCCGAGCTCAGGGGCGTGCAGAGGCGCTAATACAAGAGCCGGGGACGGATTCGGGGCGGGCCCGGAGATCCGGATCCGGCTTGGGCAGCCTGGGAGATCGGGACTGCGTGTGCAGTGCGTCTCGCTCTACCGCTGGGATTGGCTGTGTGGGATTTTTTTTTTTTCCTTGTAAGAAATAAATGCTCAGGCGTTTGCAAAGCGCCGGGCTCCCCTGAAGCTTCGAAAGCCCCCCCGTATGAGAGCAGGCGGGAAGAAAAGTTGGGGAGCAGGCGAAGGCAAGGGGGCAAAGCCAAGGGAGGTTGCGGCGCGGGCCTGGTCCCTGCCCAGGCGTCTATTCGCCCGCCTTTGCCTCAGCGTCCTCCCCGCTGGGTTGTGTGGAATTGATGAGTTTATTTTCCTTTTTCCACTTCATGCGTCGGTTCTGGAACCAGATCTTGATCTGGCGCTCGGTGAGGCAGAGCGCGTTGGCTATTTCGATGCGGCGGCGCCGCGTCAGGTAGCGGTTGAAGTGGAACTCCTTCTCCAGCTCCAGCGTCTGGTAGCGCGTGTAGGTCTGGCGGCCTCGGCGCCCGTGACTCCCATACACAGCACCTGCGGGCAGAAATGGCCGGACGCCAGTAAGCCAGGATCCAGGCAGCCTGACCAGTCAGCCCTGAGCCCCGCGCCCTGGTCTCGGGTCTGGAAACCACCCGCCTCTCCCACTATGTCTGGGGCCCGAAAGCGGACTGGATGGGAGAAGATTATTTCATACCAAGCGAGATATTTTCCACCTAAAACGACTTGGAGTGGGAAATGATTGTTTTTGCAAAATCTGCTCAGTAAAAATATTACAAGAAAAAAGAATAGAACAGCATTCTTAAATCCGGGCACCTAAGTCTGTTTTGTGGGGGTACAGTGTGTGTCTGGAAATGGTGGGTATGGAACCCTGTGAGTAGGGTACACACTCCCAATTCACACACCAACCTCTGTGGAGTTATTACTGTGGTCATTACTTCAGGACACAACATACTTTTTGGAAAATTTTAAATGGTCAGCCCTCTTAGATCTTTGCAAATGCCTTCCCATTGTATGGCCCTTCTGAGAAAAGCAGAGCTCTTGAAAACACGTGAATTTTAAAGCAAAAGACTAAGTTTTAAAATCTGCATTAGGCTCTGTCCTTCTCCAAGAATCCCCTGTGGAGTTTTGGAAATCAGGGGCAAAGAGATGGAGATATGGGCCATCTGGGGCTTCTAGAATGTAGGGCAGTGATGGCTATCTATTCTGATGCCAGAAAGACCCATGGGTTGGGGGCTCCCCCCAAGTTGGGTGTGCGAGACTCAGGCAGGGCCTCAGAAGGAGGCAGAAGTTGGCTGTGAGTGAGCAGTTGAGTGGAGGGGGGAGGAGAGGAGGGAGGAGAGAGCGGAAAAATCCTGAGGCCAGGGATGTGGCCCTCCGAGGCTTTGGGGAGACACTGCAAGGGGCCAAATGAGGGCCTCTTTCTAGATGGGCTTCTGAAGGGCAGAAAGGTGAGGAGCCAGTGAGTGAAAGAGGCGTTCTCAGGCCAGGTGCAGAAGGCCATCACGACTGGGGGAACCTTGCACGGTGTTACCAGGGTGCAGGGTGGGCAGGCACTCTCCCATCCAGCCTTGCTCTCTCGTCAGACTGCCCCGTCACTGGGTCTCACAGAGCATGGAGTGACACTCCCCCCACACACACACGCTCCCCTAAGGTGTCACCTTACATGGGCACTAGTGCCCTGCCTTCAGTCTTTCACAGCTTGATTGTCCCATTGGGAATGGGTTGGGTTTATTTTTCTTTTTAAACAACACCTTTTAAAAAACCCAAGAAACTTTGTTCATTCCTTCCTCCTTTCTTTCTGTGTCCTCTTTCTACTCCGTCTGCTCCTTCCTTCCTTCTTTCCCTGCCTCCTTCCCCCTCTCCCTCCACTCTCTTTGAGGGGCTGCAGGGAAACACCTTACCCGCGCAGGAGTTCATCCGCTGCATCCAGGGGTAAACAGGGCTCGTGTACTTCCGGTCGGTGCCTTCGTCATGGAGGGCTTTGCCCGGCACGCTGCTGCTGTCGGGTTTGTACTGCTGCTCGGGAGAAAAGTGCAGGTAGTCCCCGGGGCCCCTCTGCTTGCCACTGCCCGAGGGCGAGGCGCCACTGAGGTCCTTATCAGAATAGAAACACGAGGCCCCGTACTCGTAGGAGGCCCGGTTGCAGGCCAGGACAGAGTTGGACTGTTGGTAGAAACAAGGTGAGGGGTACGTCTTGTCCGGGAGGCTCGACGCGCCGTACGAGGCCGGGAAGGGCCTCAGCGCGTCGTAGCCGGCCGGGTAGAGGGGCAGCTGGCCCAAGAAGGAGTCCTGGCCGCTGGGCAGGCTCCCGGGGAAAGTGGGATTCACGAAATAGGAACTCATTTGCGCGCCCCTCTGCAGGACTGTGATTTGTTGTGTATTAGTACATCTGGCTATAACTATTAGTAGTCATCGAACTGGTTTGTTTCTGGATGGCCGAACGCCAAAAGCGACAGCAGCAAATCGCACCAGCTGACGCGGCGGCGGCCAATGGGAGCGAGCGCCGGAGCCCGCTCCCCGGGGACCGCGGCGACCGAGGCAGCAAAGTTACAAACAGCCCCCAGTCCGCCCGCCCGCCGCCCGCCCGCCCGGCAGATTGATGGGCGCGCACAACCAACCCGCCCGGCTCTCTCCCCCAACGCCTGCGGCGGGCACAGCCCGGGCAGGGGCACCGGTGTCCCGGCCACCGCAAAGGCCCAGACAGGCCCGCTCTCTCCTCCTTCCCTTTTGCCTTGTTGGATTTTGCTGGTTTTTCTCTCCAGACAGGAAACCTGACAGCCCCGCGCCGGGAGAGGCGGTGACAAGTATGACTCTACTCCGGACGGGCCTGCCCTACCGGCAGGGCCCCGAGTTTGCCCCCTCCCCCTGCACTCCTGTCCCCGTGGGTGCGGGTTACCGACATGGAGAAGGGATCTGAGAGACCAGGCCTGCGCCCCAGTTGTCTCCTACACGTTAGGAATCGGTGCATCATCTCCTTCTCTCTTTCCCCAGTCCCACCAAGGGCCTGGGCCTCGCCACCAAAGGGAAAGGCTCACCTCCAGCCAACCAGGGCTAGGATGAGGCTAGTCTCTTCCCCTGCCGGCCCCCTACTCCCACGTACAACATGTCTCCTTTGAGTCTCCAGAGGCCTCCTTACAATGGCCAGCTATTGCCTGGCCTCAAAGCGCGCGCACACACAGGCACACACACACACAAGCTGTGAGCCCCGCTCTGGCTGCATCTGAACCCAGGAACGCAGAGGCTGGAAACCACTGGTTTCAACAAGAAAGGAATCTACAGAGGAATGGCTGTGAGACTGAGTTCCAAACCAGCCCTAGGACCTGCTCCCCTCCCGCGCTCCGGGCTGGGTGGCAGAGATGAGACAGATCCAGATGTGGAAACTCTGCCCTCATTTCAGAGGTGCTAGTGACCCAGGGTGCTGGCTCAACCCAGCAGAGAGGGCAGCTCTGCTGGCCCAAGGCGGTGGCAATAACGAACGTGCTTGGTTTCTGGGTCACCTGTCCAAAGGGCACTGCCCTGGAATATCCCCCTTTCCTGCCTTTTCTGTGACTTTGGGGGAATCTGCCACCCACTGTGGCTCCAGAACCAGAAACAGTTGTCTCCCCAGCTCCAGAAATTATCTGAATTGCGTTTACCACAGTCGCAGGCCTGGCCTTCCCCAGACAGGACATGAAAAGCCTGTCCTGGGCTGTGCTCTCTTGCCTGAGAGCTGTGCCTTCAAGATAGTTGACTTTTACAGAGCATAGATCAATCTCATTTTGTACAATGTGGTACCATTACAATGGCATTTTTACAACTGTATTTGTTAGGCTTGTAAAACCCTTGAATTAGCTTTAAAGTCCTCAATTCTGTGGCGCTTGAAGAAAGACTTATTTATATGATTTGGTTGAATTTCCGGAGGATGTTTATAAGATCTGTAAAACTGGTGAATGCAGGTTGATGGGGTTCAGAACTTGGGAGGGGTGGCAAGGGCCCCCGAGGAATCTGGCAACGACTTCCTTAATCTCTTCCTTGCTTTTCAATTTTTTCCCCTCACTTCCCCCAAGGAAAAAAATTTGAGAAAAGACTGGGCTCTGATTGGCCTCCCCAGAGACTATGGTGCATCCTTGAAATCAGCTGCTGCCCACTGAATGGGGCTGCACCCAGAAGCTTTCTGCCTGTGCCCCAATCAATTGAACCTGGGAAAGTTTCTCTTTTGCATATATAAATAAGGGCCTGGTAGGAGAGGATATAATTTTAACTTGCCCTCAAATTTCTTTATGAAAAGGATCTGATAGGTGAAAATTTAAACTTGAGAGTCAAAATTTTTAAAGGGATTTTTTAAAAGCTGTGTTAGAAGAAAATGTTTGAGTTGTTCTTTAAACAATGCCATCAGATGACAGTGATTTCGAGCAAGTTATTAAGATGAAAATAATCATTTGGAGATGTTGATAAATGTTTATGTTTATCATTTCTGCTTTATTCTTCTAGGTTCCACATAGTGTTGGGCTGGGGGCAATTTACTACTATTATTAGTATCTGTTATGGTTTGACCTGGATTCTCGATTTAATCATTGTCTCAGTCAACAAAATATTTGATCTCTCAGTTAACAGTGAAAATAGCGTATTTCTAGCTTCTATAGGCACTAAGATGGAAAAAATATATTACACTGAAATCTCTATGTGTTAGCCAAGGCTGGTACATATCATGTTGGCAGCTGCCCAATTTATTTCTCCAACCAGCATTAGCTGCATATATATATATATAAAGAAAGAGAGCGCGTGTGCACTCCTTTCAGGCAAGAATAGAAGCCCCAGACGCTGGAGGGAGCCTCTCTTGGGAAGGTGAGAATGGCCACCAGGGTTCTTTCCTCGGTCAAAGCCACACAGAAAACCCACTTACCTTTCAGCTGTTCTTCAAGGCGGACGGGATGGTGAGCAGAGCCTCACACTTCGCCCTTTCCCTGGGCTGCCCACTGAGCTCCTCGACCTCCGCGGGTGTGGAGGGAGGCCTGCTGTCGTGCGGGGGGCTCCTTGAGGGCCCCCGCGTCCACTGGGCTCGCTGGCCCAGGCCAGAGCCCATAGCACACAGGTGCGGCCTCTGCTTGTCACAGGCCCTCGCGTGGAGCCAAAGCCCGCCTTCCTTGCCATAGCCAGTCCTCCTCAGAGCCAGCCAGGCCTGCAGGCCCCAGGACTAGGAGTGATAGCTCCAATTTCTAAATCCCAAAGCGCGCGCGTTTCCCGAACCAGCGTGCGCCCCCGGGGCGCCTTGGAACGCGCAGTTTGGAGAGAAGCAGCCATGACGTGCCAGGCGGCCTGTGCGACCAGTCTCCATGGTTGCTGGGTGGAAGCAGGACCCGAGTCTAGTCGGGCGTCCAGCTCCCGTCAAGGGCGGTCAAGGCGGGGGAGGTTCCCGGCCAGTCAGGCCCTGGGAGGCCGCCCTTCAGGTCCTCCCTCACCCCCCTCTCCTAGGGTTGCTTGGAAATCTCTGAGGGGCCCGCGCAGCAGTCGCGCCAGGCTGCACGACGCGGGGCTGCGATTGGCGTCGGTTCCGGAGACGGCCACAGCGTGGCAGCAGCGAGCGCCCGGCGCGGTCGCAATAAATTATCTGCCCGCGGCAGCCGCAGTCAGGCAGCCCACGGCCCCGCGATGCAAATACGCCGCTTTATCCGCCCCAGCGCATCCCGCCCCACCCCCGGCGCGGGTGGAAGCCCCCAACGTCTACAGACCCTTCTCAAGTATCGAATGCATACCAAGGCATCACCTTAAGGTGGGGAAAACAATAACCACCAAAATCAAACAAACAAACAAAAAGAACTCGGGCCCAGAACGGCAGGGTCATTTCGCTGTCCCAGGAAGCTACCGGGACAAATCTGGCCGAGGTTCACCTAGGCCAAGTCAGCTCTGTGCCCCCGCTCTCCAAGCCCACGCCCGACGCACCTCCGCGCCTCCTCCCAGGCGGCTGCACAGTTCTCTCCCAGCTCTCTCGGGAGATGGGGAGAGCGGTCGCCAGACAACCCGCTGCGCCGAGGTGGTTGGGGAGGGGGGTGTCCCCCTATCGCCCAGACTCGGTTTGTATCCTTCCTTCAACCTTAGCTGCGGCCCCTGCCACTCACAATAACACCACTACATCCTCTGCACCGAAACTTCCCGCCAAGCAACACCCAACAATTAACCCCATCCTCTCCTTCAACACAGAATTCCACCCACGAACCTGTTCCCTCTCCCCGCGCGCTCCAGACATCTCTCTCATCGGAAAACCACGCGAAGCGAAGCAGGCACTCAGCAGAGGACTCTGGCTGAATTAGTAAGTTTTTGGTTTTTTGCTCATTCTACCTTTACTGTCTAGACACCACTTCCCAAGGAATAGAAGGTACTGTGATTAAAAACGCCTGTCGATTAATTCACTTTGCCCTCCTCACTTACCATCTTCCCACCTCGGGAACTATCTCCAGTTATTGGGGGGAATTCAATCCTGCCAGTTGGGTCATGAATGAAAAGGAAAAAAAAAATCCAAACCCGGGAGGCTGGAGGGGAACGCAGGGTGCAGGGTCACTTCCTTTTGGGGGCTCTGCGAGGTCGCTGGGGAAGGGGAGAGAAGCCCTCATTTGGCGCTGCCCCAAAGGAAAGTGAGCCAAGGTGAGCACGCTGGGAAGAGGGGAGGGAGGGAGGGAGTGTGTGTGTGTTGGTGTGTGGGAACTGTGGTTTGTGATGGGGGTGCGTGTGAACGGGTGAGTGGGTGGGAGAGGGTTAGGTCTGCCCCCTTCCAGGGCCGCCCTGGGGTGCTCTCTCCCAATGCCGCCGGCGCCCGCTGCCCCCTCACCACCTTTGCTCCTTTCTCCCCACGTGTCTCACCTTCAGATGGCGGTTCCCAGAAGCTCCGGTCCCTCTGACAGCTGTCGCTTGGGCAGCCCGGAGAGACGAATTGTCCTTCGTGGTGCTAGAGGACGCAGGAAATTAGCCAGGTTGCGAGTTGGAAAGCGGCCGCCGCGGCGCCGGGAACTGGGCACACCCCACCTCCAGCGGGAGCGGCCGGGCCGGGCCGGGCCGGGGCCTCATCTCGCTCGCCATCGCCGGACAAAGCACAGCCGAGCCTGGCTGGAAGGCTGAGCTCCGAAGCAGGCAGGACGGAGCGGAGCAAAAGAATGCGGCTCTATTCTCGCAAGGGAAATTATAAAAAAGTTCATGTTCACGGTTCCCATCCACATGACCGACAGCGGCCAATGGAAGGGCCGAACAACTCATAAAGTTGTATTGCAAAGTTGTAAATTTTCATAAACAACAACGGATTTATGACCCTTTCCCCATCACTAAGAGGAGGCAGCTCCTACACCGGCGCCATCTTACCACCGAGGCGGCCCCGAGTTGGGGCCGCAGGTTTTACAGACCCAGTTGTGCCGGGGGTTTATTAAAAGAGGAATAAGAAGCGGGTCCAGCCCAAGCAGGAGATGGGAGTCGAGGACTTCGCCCGCCGAGCTGCCACTGTTCTGCGCTGTCCCCACCGCCCCTCGCCCCTTCCCCAGCCCCAGCCCCTCATTTTCCGCATCCAGATGCCCTTGCCAGGGTTTTGCAGCGGGGTCTGTGGCTAGTGCCCCTTCCTACCCCTTAGCTTCAGGGCTGGGTTCTGGGGCCGCCTCGCTTTTCCTGAATGTGGGGCTGGGAGCGGCATCAGAGGCCCTGAATCCCGCGTCCTTTCCTGGGCTGGGTTCAGGGCTCCTGGGGAATTCGGAATCAGTCGCAGGATGATATACCTTCTGGAACCCACTCTATAACCTTAGAGGAAAGGGTGGACTTGGGATTCTCTCCTGGAATCCATGGAGGGTTTGGAGGAGGTTCATAGAATAGACTATAATGTATCAATCGAAGATTTCCGTTTTTAAGGGATCTGGAAGATGTTTGTATACACACCCAAACCAGACAAAAATCTCCACACAGAAATGTACATGTACAATTATGGACACACAGAAATGTGTGCACACAATTATGGACACAAATACATAATTGTGGACTCACAAAAATAGACACAAAGAGGTACACACTCCTATAGAAATCTCCATAGCAATCCATGTGAAAAGGGATTCAACAGGCATATACACTAGTACATGACACCCAGCACTTGAACCCTATCTGTCCTTCCATTTTTGCTGTCCCAAAGCCCCTTTGGCCATACAGACCTAGCCAGGGCTTGCTCTCCAGTCATGCTTCACTCTCTCTTCCCCAGCACACTGCAACTACCAGATAAAGCAGTCCACAGTTCTTTGTCATCAAGCATCTTTATTTTTCTGTTACATAAAACACTGTTAACTGGGCAAGACGGGAAGTGTAGGAAAATGTACCTTCCCGTTCCTGGAAGCCCAGGCTAGAGCTGAGAGGTATGAGGGGGACACAGGACAACACAGGAGATGAAGGGCACTGGGGAGGGCATCAGTCCCCTCACCGGCTATAGAGTTAGCTCAAGACAACACACCATGCTACAAAGTCACCCCATTAACACATCCTTCCCAAGTCAGGACATTGCCTTACAAATGAGCTCCAAGACTATATAAATGACCAAAAAAAAAATTGTGTTCAAATATACAATATTTGCCATTGTAGGAAAAGTCAGGGTACACATATTCAACATGGCTGGACAGTAGGACACAAGGGCTAGGGGAGGGGCAGGGAGGCTGGGAGCATCTCTGCAGTCCTACTAAGCAGAAGCGAGCCCAGAGGCCCAGGCAGCTAGCTTGGGAATGCTCCAGAAGGAGGGGATGATGGTCCTGAACATGAGGTGCCCAGACCAAAGAAGGAGGGATTCTAGATTGCAGCACTTAGAATGCTTTGGAATAAATATATTATTTTTCCATTTAAATAGAAGCCAATGCCCTGGTCCCCGGATCCCCGCGCCTTCTCAGCGCAGCCTCAGGGACCCCAAAGGCTACTAGCCGGAAGCAGCAGAGGCCTGGCCGAGGAGGGGGGAGGGTTCGGCACTAGGTAGCAGGCGAGCCAGCGAGCATAAAATAGGTAGTTTGGGGCGAGTAGGTAGTACTGAGAATCAGGTCCTTGCCGGTACCGGGGGAGGTGCTGGGGGTCTGACAGTGTTGGGACACTTCTGGGCTTCCTGGGAGTGGAGGCCCTCTGGGGCTGGGCCCATAGGTAGTTTGGGAGTGCCTCTCCCGGAGGAGGCCTGTGCTAGGTAGTATTTTAACCGTGCCAGCGCAGAGCTGGTCGGCCTGGGGTTGGGGGTGTCTGTTGGGAGTCCTCAGAGGCAGAGGGGATCCCCAGCAGTCTGGTGACTGCTCAGTCCAAAAAAAATTGGGAGCTGGAGTGGGTAATGGGGTAGATTGGATGCAGGTTGGGGAGTGGGTGGTTTTTTTTTTAACATTTTATTTCTTTTTCCACTTTTGTAAATAAAATCAGTCTCTAAAGACGCTTTCCAGACTGTCTGGTGCAGCCAGGGCCCTCATTCCTCCTCCTCCTCGTCCTCGTCGTCCTCCTCCTCGTCGTCGTCCTCGTCGTCGGCCTTGTCCGCGGCGGTGGCGGCGGCCACGGCTGCAGAGGCGGCGGGCGCGGCACCCTCGGGGGCGCCGGAAGCGGCCGGACCCTCCTCCTTATGCTCCTTCTTCCACTTCATGCGGCGGTTCTGGAACCAGATCTTGATCTGGCGCTCGGTCAGGCAGAGAGCGTGGGCGATCTCGATGCGGCGGCGCCGCGTCAGGTAGCGGTTGAAGTGGAACTCTTTCTCCAGCTCCAGCGTCTGGTAGCGCGTGTAGGTCTGGCGGCCCCGCTTTCGGTCCGGCCCTGCGAGCAGACACATGGACACATGGACACAAGGACAGACAAGCCGACAGGGACACAGGCCAGGGCATCAACCCGGCTGCCATCCAGGAGCGCGCACCTCCCTCCGGGCCCTGACCCAGCTCCGAGTCCCCCTCCGCCCTGCTCCCCCAACCTGAGCCGGGGGAGGAGCGGGAGACCCCGACTGCGGTGCCACATGCGCAGGCAGCTCTCTGAGAGGGGAAGGCGCAGAATCCCAACTTTACAACCGCTCTTTCCAGGCGGCTAGGCTTCCACAATGTCCTGCTTCCCCCTGACAAAGGGAAATTGTAAATATAGAGTGTGGGCAAGTGGGAGACGCTGCGCTTTTGCCATTCAAAGGCGAGCCAGCCGCTTCCCCGCCTAGCTAGGCAAGTGGGAGACCCTCTCCGGCGGCCCTCACTCCAAGGGCGCCTTTCCTCCCCAGCAGCCCGCGCCCCCATCCCCGGACCTTCCTAGGGCATTGGGCTCTCTGTCTCCACTCCCACCCATCCGTCCCTCCCTGCCTTTAAATGGCCCCTGACACAAGGGCGCTTGAGGGACCCTACAGGGTTTGGCTCTCCTTGCTTTTGAGAAGAAAAGCCAGGCTGAAAGGAAAAGGAGGAGGGAGAGAGAAGAAAGGGAGGGAGAAAGAGAGAGGATAAGAGAATAGAGAGCAAACCAACTTAATGTTGAGATTCCAAGGCAAATGGAGTTAAATAAATTTACGAGGATCGAACCCATTAATTGGGCCATAAAAAGTTTTATGAGCCTCATTTACATACAATGCTAGGAGCTCTCCAAGCTATGGCGCCTCGGCTCTAATTAAAACCAGAAAGGCAGCGCCGCCAGGAGTCACGGGGCCGCCGGCTCGCAGCCGCCTCGTTCCGCGCTCCGCGCCCCCAGCCCGGCGCTCCCAGCTCCCAGTCCGCCCGCCCACCCGGCCAGCCTAGCGGCTGCGCCTACCTGAAGACCGCATCCAGGGGTAAATGCGGAAATTGGCCTCGGCCGAGGCGTGCAGCCCGCCTTCGTCTGCCTTGTCGCAGGCGCCTTTGGCGAGGTCACTGCAGAGCCCCGGGATGTTTTGGTCGTAAGAGGCGCAGGGCAGGTTGCCGTAGGCGTCGGCACCCAGGCCGTAGCCAGACGCGAAGGGGTTCTGATAGAGGGGGCTGTTGACATTGTACAACCCCGGTACGGTCGAAGGGAAGGCGCCGGCGGCTGCCCCGTAGCCGCTTCTCTGCGAGTTGGGCGCAAAGGAGCAAGAAGTCGGCTCGGCATTTTGGAACAGAGAAGCCCCCGCCGTATATTTGCTAAAAAGCGCGTTCACATAATACGAAGAACTCATAATTTTGACCTGTGATTTGTTGTCCGGCAGCTTTCAGTGTCGGTTTTACGAGGTAGCGTGATATATGATAACATTACACCCCCAGATTTACACCAAACCCCATTTTCTTTTGGACGGAGCTCGCCGCAGCACGTGACCGCCCACATGACTGCCTCCGCCAATCTCAGCCGCCCTCACAGGTGGTCTCGCCCGGCTGGGCCCGCGGCAGCCTAGAATGGAAGGGAAACAGGCTCAAATATGTGGCCAACGAATCTGTCCGCGCCCGGCCGGCCTGGCGCATCCCGCGGGAAAAGGACTCCCGAGGCGCCGCGTGGAGGCTCCGCGCGCCGCCAGCCCGGACCCCTGGCCGGCGGAGGCCGCGTGGAATCGGCCGGGCGCAGTCCCTTCATTGCTTATTCCCGGACGCTGGACCAAGCTGGCGGGTCCTCCCTGCCCCTCTTTTCTACCCACTCACCCAACCCAGGGAGGGTCTCTGCGCTCCCAAGTGCCGGCCCTGTATCGGTGGCCAAGCGGACAAGTCTCAGCTCTGGGCAAATCGACTCTTTGCCTACGTTCCCCGTCCCAAATCCAGCGGGCCAGAGGCCGACTTAGACTCCGATCCAGATGGGGCCGGTGCAGCGACGCTTGCAGCTGCAGCAGGAAGGCCACCACAGACTGGAACCATGTGGTTGGAATAAAGTCAAGGTCTCCCAGCTTCCTTTCCTAAATCGGCGGCTCACTGTTTATCCTCCTAAAGGAAACAGTGAAATATTTATCTATTAATGAGCCTCATTTGCCAGCAGATTTATTAACATGAGCTTTCCCTCCCTCCTCCCGAACACCGCTGGCTGGGCAGGTTCTGTGCGTTCTCTCCTGGGCACCTGGCTGGCCTCTGGCAGCCGAAGAAATGCGTGGACACTTTTGTCCTCCGTGCAACTCTTGGTTCCTCTTCGCTCAAAGGGAACCAAATCTCTTTCCCCAGGCCCACACCTTTCCAGGTGCCAATGTTACTATAAGGTTTCTGGTAGCCTTCACTGGGGACATCCCTGGGCCTCGGCTACCTTCTCCTGGGCGCCAAACATGCTTTAGAGCCAATTTGGAGAGGAGAGAGGCCCCAGGGGCCTGGGGACTACAACCCCTATATTCCTCCATTTCTTTTGGAGACCCCCAAACAAAAGGGGAGGCCCCCCCTTCAGACCTTTTCCAAAAGGCCACCCAGCTCTGGCAGCTTCACCTTTCCAAGGACTGGCTTTACTTTTCCAAGACTGGAGCACAAAGTAGTCTCACTCACTTCCACGCAGGGCCCCCACTCTAGGACCTTACTTTCCCAAACCTCCAATCTCCGGTGCAGGGTTGGAGTACCCCAGAGGGTGGTGGGGTGACCCTTCCCCTAAATGCCTCATAAACTGCCCAGACTGCGATGGAAGCCCAGCGGCCGGGTTAGTACGCCTTTTACTGCTCAGCTCGATTGCGCACCATAAACCCGACCTCACAATGGAATTGCCCCGGAAATTCTCCTCTGAGTTATAGTTTGATTCCTTGTGTACAAAGAACTTCCCATCACTTTCAGAGGGTACAGGCTGTCCCTGTTCACCGCACGCTCTCAGGGGGTCCCAGAAGCACAAAAGGTGACAGGAGGATTCATGCTTGGATGAAAATGGAGTCCCAGCTCTGGCCTAACGGACTGCCTGAGGCATAGGTGGGGAAGTGGGGGCTGTCTGAGCAGGTGGGTGCCTGGTGGTTTTCCCTGGGGGCGCAGGGGCCATGGTGCGGCAATATCCAGGGATGCCCTTTATGGAGGACCAGGGTGACAGCATGTCCCCGTTGGGGAATGGAGGGGGCAAGATTGGTAGGAATGAAAAAAACAAATATTCCAAATAGCATTATTTTCCGGTAGGAAATAAAAACCTAAGAAAATTAAAGAAAGACCAAACAAACAAGAAGGCTAGGAGATCAAAGAAGCGGAATTAGACAGCTTTAGACCAATAAATTGTTCCTCGGGTGACACAGAGCAAGATGCAAAGAGAAAGACGGCCCCGCCGCCGCCGTCTGTCTAGACTCCGGGGGCTGGAGCAGCCGACAGCTATGGCGCTTGTAGTAGAACCTGCCCTAGTGAGGCGACCCGACAGGCCGGGGGGGAGCGATTTCTGGGAGTGCAGGAAAGGGCCCGTTCCCAGCCAAGAGGTCTGAGAGCCCGTGCCACAAGCTCATCCCTGCCCGAGTTTTGTTGGGAGCAGGTCCAAGCCATCCTGGCAGAATGCACTGATTCTCCTCCTGGGCCAAAGAGGATCCAGATACTGCCAGCAAGGCATCAGTCTTTCTGGGCCCAAGTCAGCCAACCCCGCTGAGCCCCACGGGTGCTGAAATCTCCCTTTCGTTTCTGAGCTTCTCTCTCCTCTCTTGCCTTCTGCAGCGGGGTTTTAAAACGGAAAAGCCAGACAAGACTAGGCTTTCAATATGGCCTCCTGAAATGGGTGTTCGCGAGCCTCCGGCTTTCTATTATTTGGCCGATCAGACACACATGCGCTGGATTAAATGTGATAATATTCACACAAATACTCGTTGACACTCAATCTGAAGCAGGCCACGTGAAGGCGGGTTTCTTATCAGCCGAATCGTCTTTAGATAAAGACATTTTCCTAGGGCCCTCCTGGAGCTGGGGTCCTACCTACCTAGCAAAGTGTTTCCCCTGCTTCTCTTTACCAAACGGTCCTCAATATTGAAATCCAGCTAAGAAGGTAAACCCAGCTCTGGGGCGGTGAATGGAGCCTGCCAGGGGTTGGGCGGGTGAAGATTTGCTTCTATAAACGTTGCCACATGCAACCCGCGTTCAGGTTGCGCGCCTCTTATGCACCCAATGCGCAGTCTTCCATCGAGACCCGGACACCGACTCCTCGGAGTGCAGAGGCACTCCGGCGGCTGCGGGGTCCCGTCTGCGCGCCTCCCGGACACCCGCCGGCCAAGGGCAAGAGAGGCCTTGCCCGGGGTAGTCCACGAGGCCTCTGAGTTCCCGACCGGCTTGCACGTACCTGGGACCTGGGGCCTCGGTAACCGGTAACCACCGATCTGCTCCTTCGCCGTTTATTTAAAGTTACATAAATCGAGCTTTGTATCTGCGGCTTGGAGACATGGCCACGGGTGACTCTTGGGGAAGCTATAAAAAAACCCCTTTCACCAAAGGCTGTGAAATTTTATGTATTAAGTAAGGAAATATAATGAAGGCGTGTGTCTGTAATACCAACGTGTGTATATAAACAGAAAAAGGAGGGGAGAGAGAGACACACGGATAGTGACGCCCAGGAGAGATGTCAGCCAAAAAAACGCAGTCCCTGGTTTTACAGCGTGTACAGCGCCGAGATGCAGGTTGTAAACATTTTGTGGGCTTGGCGGAGATTATTACAACCCAAATAAACGCACCGCGTGGCGTGTTCACAGGGCTCAGGACTGCTTCAGCGGGGTTCCCTGTTTGCTTTTGCATTTTCCTCCTGCAACCATTCTGTACCCGGGGCTGATCCTCGGAAACGCAGGAACGCACCCGGGCCTCCTCCTGGAAGGGTCTGAGGCGTATACCCCCGCCCAGGGTCGAGGGTAGGCTCGAATGGGATTGGGGTTCCCTCCCTCCCCGTCCTCGCCTCTGAAGCAGGGAACGGACGCCAGAGTAGCCTTGATGCCTCCACTACCCAGGAAATTCGGAGGCGAGAGAAAGTAAGGGCGACTTTCACCACATCAACTCTTGTCCTGGAGCTGGGATGTAAATATAATTATTTTAAACATCATGTATTTTAGAATAACCAAAGCAGTTCCTGGTCCCAGTCCCGGGATTCCCCATCCTTCCAGACCCACACTAGACAATTACCAAGATACGCCTTTACGCCCAATTCTCAGCCGCCTGATTGTCCCGTGACGTTTTTAAGGCGGCCGAGTCCCGGGGTCCTGGCTCGCCTCCGAGTGCTGACTCTCCCTGCACCGGGACGCAGCCTTCGGGGGGTCTCTCGGGTCGCCACAGGACCCTTGGCCACTGTGTATGCCCTCTGCGCGCCCTCTGGAGGGTCACCAGGTCCACGGGCTGTAGGCCTTAATCCTGGTGTCTGTCCGCCGGTCGGTCGCGTTCTCCGAGTGTCGTGAGGCCCCGAGGCCTGCCCCAGGGTGGGCACGGTCACCCTAGATCGGTCCCCGCGACTGGAGCTACCGCCCCGCAGCCTCGGGACAGCGGCAGCACCGCAGCGCTAGGCCCCCGCCCAGGATGGGGAGAGACGCGGGCGCAAACTGTGCAGATCAGGCGAGACCCAGTCGCTTGCTTTTTTTTGTCTCCCAGCGAGGCTTCTGGCCAGGCGTGAGCGGCACCGAAAATATACTACCGCCGTTCGCTCAAATCTGGGGCTCCCATTCCAGAAGAGCCTGCATCAAGTCGACATTTTAGGAACTTCCCGGGGTCGCGGCGGCGGGAGATGGCGGCGCGGGTGCCTCTTGCGTGGAGCCATACTGCCATCTGCTGGCCTCGCCTTGACACTGCAGCCCACCCGCCCGGCCTGAACTTCGTCAGCAGCCGCCGCGGGTCGGGGGTACCACTCTCCACGCCGGGCAAGGGCCCATCCCCAGGGGGTCTGCACGGAGCCTGGAATCTACGCTACCGAGAGGGCAGTGCCCATAAAAAAGAGAGCTGTTTCCGCAGCCGCTTTATCGGCGGCAGCCAGAGCCAAGAAATGAAAGGGCTTTGGTGGAAAATCTTAATTGGGGCTGGACAGTTGTAAACCCATTAAGAGCCGAATTCCAGACAGTTCGCAGACCCGGCCTTTATGGCACACCCTCACTGCCCATTCTTTGAAGTTTCCTCTGTCTGCAACAACAGAGGGCGTCCCAACCTGGCGGCAGGGTGGGGGTGGGGGTGAGCGGACGCCCCATCCTCCGTTGTCCCCATTCCCCTTTTCCGCGCCCAAACACAGATAACTTTGCAAAAATCGAGGGCGGGGGGCGGGGAGGCGAGAAAAGAGAAGTGGGGTAGGAGGCTGAACCCTCTGCCACATCTAGAAGGCGCTCGGGCCTCCGAAGTTGCGGCCGTTCCCCCCGCAGCCCTTTACACCCCATAAACGGTAACAGCCCTCATTTTCTTTTATGGCGCTTGGGGCTGGTCAGTTGCCTCGGCTCTGCCTCTGTCAGGACTTGTGCTTGGGAGAGGTGCGGGGCGGGCCCGCCCGGCAGGATGCGGGGGGCGAGGTGCGGGGGCGCGGGCAAAATCCAGTCCCCTGGGAGCCGCCAACTGTCCGTGCCCGCGGCCACGTTGGGGCGGCCGGGCTCCAGATTCCCTCCTGGTAGAGGCCTTAGGAGGCAGCTCTCGGTCCTGCCACCGCCCTCCCAGCTCCCCTACCCACCCTGCCAGGGAAGAAGGTCCAGGCCCCACTCCAGTCGCGATGGACCCGGGTTTGGGGAATTCTTGGGGCGCCAAGACGAAAGAATGGCCATTCCCAGCCACTGGACAGCGGTAAGCGACATCCCAGCCCGGCCAACTTCTCTGAAACCTCCCCGCAGTCCCGCAACCGGACACAAAGCCGGGAGCAGGGCCTCTCCGCCCCTTGTGGTCCACCCTTCCTCTGCTCGCTGCCTGCAGTCGCCAGGCAGCCGGCGCGGGAGGCAGAGCGGAGGGCCGCCTGGGCCTGGCTGCTGCAGGTTCACGCTCCCAAGTCAGAGACACAACTGAGCTCCGTCCTCCTGCATTTCAGCCGCTCTGCCACCCCCAGCCTACCCAGGCTCCCCTGCCCCGGAGAAGAAGGTGCAAAGAGCTGACCAGCAGAAATTAGAAAAGAATCAATATATTTTATTGGCAAAAAGTTAAATATCATTTTAACACAACGATTTGGTCAGTAGGCCTTGAGGTAACTATTGCAAAATATACAGTGTGCGTTCAGCCTGATGGAAACCCCAGATTCATTAAGGATACAAATCTACAGTAGCCCAATGGCGGTTTCATAGTGTATAATTTATTATCAATAAAATTAACTCCATTACAATAAGCATTCATTTTTCCCCCAATTAAAATTAAACATAAACCATAGGTAGTAACCATCTGCACATACGTATAGCTCCAAATTTCCTCTCTGTTTGGTGCAAAAACAATATTCAAGCTTGTTTACTTTTTCTTTAATATGTGGATTGTATATATACAATGGACAAGACCAGTCTAGAGAGCATGTAGAAACTAAAATGTCTGCATTTCAAAAATGGAGAAAACCATGAATCTATGCGTCCTGGAGAATGCTTTCTTTCTTTTTCTTGTTTTAAAATTTTATGTCACTGGGAAATCCTTACAGCTAGTTTACAATCAAAGGTTAACAGCCTAGTTACACAGAAGACATATTCCACTACAGAGCTATACTCTATGCAACTGCTTTCTCCCCTCATAAACAACCTGAGTTCAAATCGAATTCTAGCTTTCACAATCACAACGGGTGCGTCACCCATCACAGAAGTTTGAGTCACAAAACATAATTACCACAATAAAACACAGTATTCAAGTATCTGGGCAGATCACTCTGCCGCACAAAGAGCAAATTAAATTAACTACACACAGTCTAAAAACTATACAGCCCGCCGTCAATAGTTGTGCATTATAAAAAGGTAGTTTTTTTGTTTGAAGTCAAGAACAGGTAGATTTTTTTTTTTAATATATACAAGCTAGCACATAGAGCCATCAGCGCTAATGCCCCCACCTTTTTTTTTTTTAAATCTTATAGAAAATGGAAAGCTTACAATACCTCCTCCATCAAAGTGGCAGGCCAAGGAACCAGCCTGAACAGGGTTTGCCTAGGACATGAGGCCTGGAGTTTCCAACCGCCTTGTGTGGGGTGGTGGAGGCTGAGGTGGGCTGGGGTGGGGTGGGGGTAGGAGAAGGGGACGGGCAATTCTTTCTTTCTAGCTCACTCTCTCTTTTCTAAATGAACTCGAGTCGCATCACTCGTCTTTTGCTCGGTCCTTGTTGATTTTCTTCATTTTCATCCTGCGGTTCTGGAACCAGATCTTGACCTGCCTCTCCGTAAGGTTGAGCAGTCGGGCCACCTCGTACCTGCGGTCCCGGGTGAGGTACATGTTGAACAGAAATTCCTTCTCCAGTTCCAGCGTTTGGTGTTTTGTATAGGGGCAGCGTTTCTTCCGCGTGGAGCGAGCATGGAGCCAGTTGGCAGCCGGGTTACCTGCGGGTGGGGGACAGAGAGGGGGGATTTAGGAGGCGAATAAGCACATCCACCCCCCTCCGCTGGGGGCTAGGAAAACTCCTGGGGTCTTCAGCCAAAGTGCAGGGCGCTGCTGAAATGGTTAGGGAAGGCAGCCGAGCCTCGGATACAATGGAACCCTGGCAGACAGACGAAGGGACGGTCACTTACAATTGCACGCCGGAAAACCTCGGCTCCCCCCCACCCCCACCCCAGACCCTCCTTTCTCCTCCTCTGCTTCCTCCCACTCTCCACACGTTGTGTAAGAAGTGAAATTTGCAAACAGATCTCTTTCTTGCCACACAGGAGGAAACCACGCTGCCCTGTGTTCCTTAGGAAGCTTAATATTCTATTCTCCCTCTCACTGACTCTCTTTCCTTCCCACCTTTCCATCTACTCTCCCCATTCCTTATTTTGACCTCCCGGGAAGGCTGTGGGAGCTGGCCAGGCCGGTATGGCGCCCCCAGGCACCCCAAGGCCGTTGATCACTTCTCCAGTTTATTTGAATAATCTAGCACGGGGACCCTCGCGTCCCGGTCGCCTGCAGCCGCATCTTGGGCAGGGTTTACGCCGCCACTGGCTGAAGCAAGAAGTGGAGAGAATCGGCCGTCTTCCCCAGCGTCCCGGGTCAGGCTGCCCGGGCTGCAGTTGCTACCGCCGCTCCCGGACAATCTAGCCGCACAAAAGGCTTTCTCTGGCGCGTCGCTTTCGAAGAATCTCGCCCAGAGTATCTCTGTCTTGGTCCCGGGCAAGCCAAGGAGAGGGTCACCAGGTCTCGGGTCGTCCCGCAGCGCCTGCCCCGCCCCCTCTCCAAGCAGCCGCCGCCTCCCCTCCCCCGAAGCCCGGCGGGCCGGCTTGTCACTGCTTTCTGGGACTTGGGGGGCCCCATCCGAGGAGGCTTCCCAAAGAGCAACTTCTGGCTCCCGGCCTTTGCTCAGGAGGCTCCCAGCGAAGGCGAAGGCAGGCTCCGGAGAAAGCTGGAGGGCCGGCAGATCCGGGTGGCCGGCGTGGAGGCGGTGGCCGGCCTGGAAGGAGGAGACACTTACTGGGATCGATGGGGGGCTTGTCTCCGCTGCTCTCATTCTCAGGATTGTTTTCGGAGAAGGCGCCTTCGCTGGGCTGTTTTTCTCTATCAACTGGAGGAGAACCACAAGCATAGTCAGTCAGGGACAAAGTGTGCGTGTCAAGCGTGGGACAGTCACCCCTTCTGGCCGACAGCGGTTCAGGTTTAATGCCATAAGGCCGGCTGGAGGGCAAGCCCGCGAAGGAGAGCGCGCCGGGCGTGGGCTCCAGCCAGGAGCGCATGTACCTGCCGTCCGGCGCCGCCGCCGCCACGGGCGCCTGGGGGTGCACGTAGGGGTGGTGGTGATGGTGGTGATACACGGCCGCGGGCACCGCGTTGGCGCCCGCCGCGTGCACCGGGTTCCACGAGGCGCCAAACACCGCTGCCTTGGACTGGAAGCTGCAAGGGCTGAAGTCGGGGTGCTCGGCCAGCGCCGCGGCCTGCCTGGGGGGCTGGCCCAAGGCTCCCGGCGCGTAGCGGCCCGCGCCCAGCTCATCCGCGGCATCGGCGCCCAGCAGGAATGAGTCCACGTAGTAGTTGCCAAGGGCCCCGGTGGTGGCCATCGCCGTGCCCCGCGCCCGGCCGGCCCGGCCCGACCCGCGGAAATTATGAAACTGCAGATTTCATGTAACAACTTGGTGCCACCAGTGGGGGGGGGGGGAGTACAGTCACCTAATAAGTTGCCGGCGCCCGCGCCCCCATTGGCCGCGCGCGTCACGTGCCCGCCCGGCAGAACAATAACGCGTAAATCACTCCGCACGCTATTAATGGCCCGGTGTTTTGCAGTCATAATTTTTATAGGAAAAGCCATATGTTTTTATGCAAAGGGATCGCGGCGCTCCGCGATCGGGTTTGTTTTAATTGTGGCCAACGAAGATTAAAAGATCAAATCTGGCCTTGCCTCTGTACTCCCTCCCCTCCCACCGCCACCACCAGACACACACTTCTTAAGCGGACTATTTTATATCACAATTAATCACGCCATCAGCAAGACGCGGGTCCCGCGCGCGAGTGCGGCCAGCAGAGCCCCTCACATAAAATTAGACAATAATTGAAGCCATAAAAAGGCAGCCAAATCGCATTCTCGCTCTACTGTATTTAAATCTATATTTATGATATTTCATAAGGAGTTATTGTTTCAGAAGCCACACAGGCTGGTGGGAAATTGGGAACGACCAACAGATTCGTTTGCCTCCTCGTGACTCCCAGCTGTAAAAATTTACGAGGACTTGGAAAGGTTAAATTAGACTGTTGTGTTTGGTTGGCGAGCTCCCTGTAAATAATCCTTGCGGTCCCTAGAGATGCGAGTTTACCCGGGGCTGGTCGAGAAAAGTCAAATTCAACGCAGTATCCGTCCCAGACTGAGCCACCACCACTTCTGCTGGAGCGCGCTGGACAGGGACAGGCCACCGAGAAGGCAGCATCAGTTGTGAACGCCCCCGGCATCCGCCCAACTGGCGCGCAGGGCGCCCGGGAAGCTCCCAAAATCGCCGCTGATCCTCCAGCGAGGGCCCCACCGAGGAACGACCTGGGAGACAGCGGCCAGTCCTCCCTGGGGCGATGGATTTGAGGACCTGATTGTGCCCCGCGCTCGGCTCCATCCCCGCGTATACGCCTGACCACCGCGCCCTGCTCGCGGTCCGCCGGCATCACTATCCACATCCCCAGCAGACCCAACAGGCGTCCCAGCCATGTGTTCCGACCTTGGAGGCCCTAACGCTGAGCTCTGCAAGCCTCGTAGCTTCTATCAGGGTCATTCCCTGAACCCGAGCTGCGAAAAAACACGAGGCAGGATCAATGAAAGGCGAGTTTTCTGGCGAAAAAGCAGCTCCGCCTAAGAGACCCCTTGACTCTAGTAGCTGGGAAGCCGGCACCGGAGCGGTTGCCTCTGAGCCCCCTGTATGAGTTCTTCTGGGCTCCTTCCTTTCTGACCACTATCCTGGACCCGCCTAGGTTACCCACCCGACCCACGGCTCTGCAGTTACAAGGCCCAAAACTCCGGGCTGCCGATCAAGTCCAGGGCTAGAAATTAAAACAGGGAGGGGCACAAGACATTGACTTAATCCTGTTTCTTAGCTTGGCCAAATTGAGGAAGATATTTCTTACTCCTTAGAGTCTTTCAGAGGTAAATTAAAAGGCCTCGGCCTGTATGTTAATTGAGAAACAAAACAAAACCTACCCCCAATCCGAACAGAAAGAGGCGACTCCTAAAAAGGGGTAATTAAATTCACGTGTGAACACTGTGCCTGCAAGAGTGTGTTTCTCATTAGCCCTCTTCCCTGGCGGCGAGGGCGGGCGAGCGGCATGGGTCTCTTCCATCTTCTGTTTTTCCTTCATCCTCCCCAACAGTTCCAGTAATCCCCCCAAATCCTGATACATCCCTGTCCCAGGCGGGAACCCGCAAATGCCAGGCTCTCCCGGAGAATGAGGCTGCGGAGCCGCGCCGAGAGCCACCGGGTGCCCCTTCCTCTGCCCGCGCCGGAAGAGGGAAGTGGCCGACACAATGAACTCCGACGTGGCCGGTCCTGGCCGCCTCAGCCCCCTCCTCCCTAATATTTTCCTTTCCTTGTAAATTCCTCCGCCGTATCCCCACCCCCACTGCAGTCCAGGGTGTCCTAAATATCGACCCCTTAGATTTTCATTAAGAAAAATTAACTCTGGCGGAAACCTTCACCCCTAATTGTAATTGTCTACGAACAGGCTGGACACGCCTGGTTGCCTTTTCCTTTTTTTTTTTTTTTGGTAACCAGAGAAGACACCAATTATTGTTAGTAATGTTTAAAATAAAACAGGCTATGTTGTTTTAAATAACCTTAGACTTTCCCAATAGAATGGCTTCTAAGTAATTATCCCGCGTTGAGAATTAAGCAGTGTCAGGAAAAGGGGGAAATCACAAAACTAAATATTATCCCTATTTAGCCCACAGGTTTGGGGAGAGAATATTCAGGCTTTTGTGTTTGCTTTTATTTTGGAGGTGAAAGAGATTATGTGTGCATAAAGAAACAATAAATGGGTGTAATTACAAACTGCCTTTTCTAGCCTGAGAGTTCAAAAACCTTGGCCTCCAAAACGAATCGACTACTCAAGTCCTGAAAATGGCAGAGAGGAATTGAGGAGAATGCCCTGTGACAGCCTTTCCAATAACAGGAGGGCAGGCTGGGCACTGAAAATAGTTTCTGGGCTGGTGGAGCTGGGGAGGTAAGCGCTGTTCCGTGAGCTTGAGCCTGAAGGCCTGCAGGCATGTTGGATTCCCAGGGGTGGAAATTGTTTTCGGTTCTCGGAAGCAAGAATGGCCCCATTGGCTTCAAACCGTGGCCTAAAACTTGGAACGCCGACTCGGTGTCTAGAATTTAGGCTTCCTTTCCCTTATTATTTGAAACACACTGGCACTGGAACGATTCCCTTCTCTAGTAATGTCCCCACAAGGATGCCATATCTAACATCCTCTGACCCTGATAGAAGCTACTGGCACGCAAACAGCCAATCTTTGCCCTAGCGGGGCTCCCTTATCGTGATTAAAGCCGGAGCCTGGACCAGCAGGCCGGGAAAGCAGAGGAAGCTTTGTGGCAGTTCCCTGCGTGTCGTTCCACCGGGCCTGGCTGAGCCCAGAACTCAGCCTCGTCTCCCCATTGAAGTCAGCGAAGGCCTCCTTGCCCTCGGAATGGGCACACAAAAACGACGAGAATTCCCCCCAGTCAGATCGCCTAAGCTGCCGTTCAGGACCCGCGGAGTAGGAACGCCAGGCCGCCGCCATCCGGTCGTGATCATAACCGAGGCCTTGTCTGGGCCACGGCACACCAGGCCGAGATCCACAGCCCTAGACAGCCGCGCCCCTCCAGCTCTTCCTCAGCAGATTCCCACCTCTGCTTGAACGCGCATGGAAAAATAAGACACCCCCACCCCACTCTCCCCAAACAAGCCCTGTATCTCTTCCCCCAGTTCCTCCCCAAGGAATAGTTGGGGAGGAGACAGAAAGAAAACTGGACACAGACTGAAGGTGAAAGAAAATTAAGGAAAGAAAAAAGGAAGGGATAAACAAGAAAAAAAGAGGGGAGGAGGGAAGGAAAGAAGGAAGAAAGAGTCAAAGGCAACTCTTGGGAGTAGACAGAGGTTTACAGAGAGAAGGGTAAGTGACAAGGCCAGTATCCCAGCCCCTGTCAGCCCTGTCCGCTTCCTGGTTTAGGCTGAATCTCCACTGGCAAAGCGATCTTTCCTCAACTGGTACCCCAGATTGGGCTGGAGGTGCCCCAGCCTTGCAGGAGAATGGCAGAGTCCCTGGCCAGGCGCAGGCCTGGAGCGGGAGACGCCCAGGACAGAGGCGTGCGCCCCTGACCTTGAATGGCCCGGGGCCCAGAATTCCTACCACGCCCCTGGCATCCGCGAAGGAGCAGGTAACTAGACCGTACCTGCTCCAGGCCAGGTAGGGCGAGTGGGGGAGGGGTGTGAGGCCGGCAGCCTGGCAGAGCGTTGAGGAGGCAGGGTTCAGGCTCCTGTGCGGGATAAGCCGAGGTTGCCACCGCAGGCCTGGCACAACCAGGGGTTGGATGCCCCGCCCGGCCCAGCCCGGCCCGGCCTCCGCGCGCACAGGTACCTGGAGACGATTTCAACTGAAGTAATGAAGGCAGTGTCGTGCTGTCGAGAGAAAGGTGGATCCCAACAACAGGAAACTACCTAAATCACCGACCAGTTCTGTTGTTGCCCGCTTGGAGCTGCCTCGCCCGCCGCCGGCGCCGCCGTTACTGCCGCCGCCACCACCGCGGCCAAGTGAGAACCCTGCGATCGCGCCTGGCCCCTCGCCAACCTGCTCCCGCCGCTGCCGCCGAGTGTCCCTGGGGCTGCCGCTAAGGCATCGCGGAGGAAGAAGCCGCCGGCCCCGGTAAGGTAAACCTGGGAGAAGGAAGGTAAAGGAGAAAGATGGGAGGAGGAGAGAAAGCCAGAAGAGAGGAGGGAACGAGCAGCGTGCGCGCTCGTCTCCCAAATCTTGCAGCCCAGCGAGCCGGCGCGGCGCCGAGCGGCTGCAGCCCAGGGCGATTCGCATGCGCCAGGGACAGCTCGGAGCCCGGCTCCCAGTCTGGCCTCGGCCTCCCGCGCTCGCTCCCCGCCACTCGCTCTCCCCCTCTCTCCCTCCCCGCCAGCCAGCCAGCCGGGGCGCGCGCTCCCGCGCCCCCTCCCCCCTGCTGTCGCCCCCCCCCCCCCGCCTCCCGCGAGCAGGAAACGCGTGGCCCCGCCGAGAGCGACCAGGTGGGGGAGGCCGTGCTGGGGGCGGGAGGACCCATGCAGCCCTGCCGCGGTCTACCTAACCGCTGCCGCGGACGCTAGCGACCCGCTGTGGGCCCATCCTGCTCCCCGGAATCCTAGGCTGGGGGTCATCGAGGACCAAGAGACCCACGAAATAGCCAGCCTCTGCGAACCTCCCAGGGGGCTCCCGAAACAAATCCTGTTTGGCTTCCTCTGTCTATGCAGCTCCCCTCTCAACTGAAACCACTGGTCCAAGACAGCCACAATCCAGATATACTAGCAAGTCATAAAACTGAACAAAAGCCGACAAACCTTACGGCACCAGAGCTATAGGGCCCAGACAAATTACGACCGTCTAGGTAATATTTAAATAGATGCCTAAAGTAATTGCAGGGGGCGCGGGCTAGTCCTCCTGTTGTAAAAGCGGTGGACGGGATAAAGTGGAAGGTGAAGATAAGAAGTAAAAAAAAGAGGTAAAATTAAAAAGCTTCATTCCACAGCTTTTATTCTTCTATAAGAACATAAACATCATCTTTTTTTTCCACGCACAGCAGCATTACAATATTAATTTATTCTGATTTAAGATTAGAAGTAAATAGAGCTAGAACTAACATTTATAATAATGATAGAATGCATTTGCATAAAACAAGATTGGCAATTTTTCATAATAATAGACATTTATACAGATTTGTATTTTATAGTTTTTTCTTTTTCTGCACCTACAGGTTTGACCCTTTTATGCATGTAACTTCACAGTATAAAGGAAACCCAGCAATGTCTCCCTTCTCTAGTCTATTCCGCTTGCTCCAGCCCTCCTCGGCTTCTGTGAATTTTGGAAAGAAAAGGGGGGAAGGGGGGGACCTCTGCAGAATAGGGAGAACTGTGGTGTGCTTGTCGTATGTTACCAGTGGTAACAATTATTTAATGACAAAAAATGCACTAAATCTGCATGTATAAACAAAGCTACATTCTATTATTTATCTACAGCCAGAAGGACATGGAAATTCAAAGTAATTGAAATAATTTAGTCCCGCAATGCAAGACGTTACACAAACTGGAAGAGACGTTTCCTTCTCCTGGTCATTTCTTCTTCTTTTAAAGCTGAGCTATCTTACAGAGGAAGGAAAAATGAATCTTTCTGACTTTCTCAATTTTACCAATCAGCCAAAGTCAAACCCTTTTGCCAACCTGCATGTCCATTTCTGCAAGCCCTTCTCTTTGCCAAGGAAAAAAGAGAAAAGAAACCCAGGGGCCTGTGCCCCCTGATTAAACACAGCCCTGCACTCCAGGCAGGCAAGCCCGGTGGCGGCTCCTTGCACCATTGACCTCAGGCCAGACACCTCAGCTGCCTACAATGGGACCTCCGCCTTCCGGCTAGGTCGCCGGCCCCGCAGGAAACCAGCTGCACCCGGAGGACAGAGGCCATTTCAAGCAGTGGAACCCCGAGACAGCAAACCATCCCAGTCACCACTTGACACTGAGGACAGCATCTCTCTATAGAATTTTAGCGCGATATGGCTTTTTCCCCCAGAAAACAACAAATAAACCAGCACCAAGCAGACAGACAAAGAAACAAAAAAGTCAGAACAAACCAGCCCTGCACAGATGTAACGGCCAGCGAGATGGCGAGTGTGGGAGGGAGGAGTGGGGGGCTCCGGCACAGGTGCGAGTTCCTGGGCAGAGCCGAAGACAAGAGGGAGGAGAACGGTTCTCTGGACGCGAAAAGAACCACATTGCCTGGAGCTTCATCAGGAAAAATTAAAGTTGGCTGTGAGCTCCCGGATCCGGTTTTCTCGGTTCATTTTCTTCAGTTTCATCCTGCGGTTCTGAAACCAGATTTTAACTTGTCTGTCCGTGAGGTGGACGCTGCGGCTGATCTCTAGGCGCCGCTCTCGAGTAAGGTACATGTTGAACAGAAACTCCTTCTCCAGCTCCAGCGTCTGGTGCTTGGTGTAGGGGCAGCGCTTCTTCCGGCCGCTCTTTGCAGTGAGCCAGTTGGCTGCGTTTTCGCCTTTGGAATTGCCTGGCATTTGAAAGAATAAAGAGGGGAAGGTTAAATTGAGGCCATGCGGGCTGCATGCAGGGGGGAATTCGGGTTGTCTCTACAGTAAGAGGGATGCCCTAAGTCACCCAGAGAGAGTTATGCCCCCCCCGCCCCTTTTAGTTTTCCCAGGGAGAGCAGTTCCTCCAAAAGTCATGTGTAAAATCGAGCGGGCCTCCCATCTACACCTACTCCCTTACATTTTCCTCCACTTTTCCCCCCAAACACCTGTTTTAGCACAAAGCTGCCATGCGCTTGCAGAAGGAACGGACTGGGAGGGCAGGCTGTATATCTTGAACTTAACGCCTTTTTTTTTGCCTCTCGCCCCAAGGCAGACAAGCATTTCCTGCAACCCCCAGGCTGGGGGGACAGGGGTGCTCACTTGGAAGGGGGGCGGGCAACGTGGCTGTGTCTCACTCCAGCCCCGTGGTTACCCAAGAAGGCCTGTTGAGGAGAGGGAGAAGGGCAGAGCTGGGAGCTAGGGAAGGCACAAAAAACTGATTGGGGTCAAGGGCCCTCCCTCACGTCTCTCCAGGAGCCAGGGACGTGCAGTCTGGGCGGTTTCGAGTTCCAGGAGAAGCGAAATGACCCCTCTCTGACTCTCAGATCAGGGCCCAGGCGTCCGGGACGGATCTGCCTTTTCTTCTCCCCGCAACGAGGATTCCCGCCCCTCAAGCAAGTTTGAAAAAAGCAAGGGGGATCGTAAACTCGAACTTCGCCGGTTAATGGGCTTATTTATTGGTGCTGGCGGCTGCTTATTTTGGATGCCTTACAAACATCCGCGCTATCTGCGGGCGAGCCACTTTCCCTCCCTCCCCCTCCCCCTCGCGTGGGCCGCGCCTCGCAGGCTGGGCCCAGGCTCGGTTTTGGGTGCTCCGGGGCACGGAGAAGGGCATGCACAAGAGGGGAGTTGCTTGCCGGTGTCCTCGGCTCCAGTCGGAGTGAGGGGAGGCGAGAGCAGAGAACGTCTCGGTGTGGGGCGCTAAGCCGGGACATGAATTTTTTACTGCGTCCCCACGCCCAAATATTAAAAAAGCAAGTTCACAAGGTCAGCCTGCCTGCAGCTCGGGCCAAGGCCGGCCGGCTGCTGTGCGGACTCCTGGCTCTCTGCTCCTTCCCTTCTCTGGGTCTGCCTGTCTGCTAGCCCGCCTGACTGCGGAGCCCTTCAGCGCGCCCTGCTTACCCAGGGAGTCCTTCTCGGGCGAGGCTTTGCTGCTCTCGGAAGGGGCCGGGGAGAGCTCCTCCGCGGCCGAGGACGACGCGTGCGCCTCCTCGTCGCCCTGCGAGCCCCCGCCGCCGCCGCCACCGCAAGCCAGCGTGGGGGGCGGCGGCGAGTCGAGGGCTCGCTCCTTCCGGGCTGCATCCACCGAACCGGAGGCGAGCGCGGGTGGCGGGTCGAAGCCGCGCCCCGGGGGCTGAGCGGGGAACGGGCCGGCGCCGAGCTGCGGCGCGCCGCCGCCACCGCCGCCGCCGTAGCCCTTGGCGGTGCCATAGGCCTGAGAGAGGCGGAAGTAGCCGGGCACTGGCACTCCGCTGGCGGTACCCAGGGTGCAGCCGTCGGGCGGCGGGCCCCGCGGGAAGGGGGCCAGCTCGGCAGCGGCGGACGAGCCTTTGGGGCATTTGTCAGCCGAGTCGTAGAGGCAGTAGGAGCTCTCCTCTTTGATGTTCTGCGCGAAAGAGCACGAGGTGGCCTGCGGCGGGGGCTGGGGTGGTTGCGGTGGGGGCGGCGGCTGGGGCTGCGGCGGCGGCGGCGGCCCTTCGGGCTGCTCCATACGGCACGACCGGGGCGCTTCCAGCCACAGGTCTATAGGCGCCGGCGCGTAGCCGTGCGCCCCAGGACCCAGGCCCCCGCTGCCACCACCGCTGCCCGGCGACGCCGCCTCATTGCGCTTGCCTCCCAGAGCCGGGAAGATCCCGCAGCTCTGCAGCCCATACGGCAGGTCGGCGGCGGACGGCAGGTAGACCCCGCCGTGGGCGTAGTAGCCGCCACCGCCGCCGCCCCCAGCGCCGCTGCCACCACCGCCAGCCTCGCCTCTGCCGGAGCTGATGAGCGAGTCGACCAAAAAAGAGTTCGCGGCGGGGCTCTCCGAGCATGACATTGTTGTGGGATAATTTGGCGAAGGGAGCAGATAGCCCTTTCTGGCTGACATTTCTTGTGCAAAACATGCTGAATACGATTAGCAATCCCCCCGCACCACGGCGGGCGCCCGCAGCCAATCCTGAGCCAGAGTTTCCGCGCGACCACTCCCAGTTTGGTTTCGTAGGCGCGGGGCCGCTCTCCGAGGGCGCCCTCCGAGCCCGCGATTGATATAAATATGTAATCTGTATTGATGGGCCGCAAGACGCACACCCGATACCTCAACCCAAAGGCCAGAAGCGACGGGGGCTGCCCCAACGTGGCTGGTGGGGGGCCTGGCCCCTGGGCTCGCTCCGCCCATGCCCGGGCGCGCGCCCTCCTTTGGGGTCTGTTTGAAGGGCCCCTGGGCCCCGTGCAGTTAACAAGTGGGGTGTTTATGGTGCGCACCCCGGCCCTCTTTGGGGGCTCCCTGTTTTAATTTTTCGAATCAACCACCAGACTTGGGTGCACTCTTAAAACACTTAGGTGGGGGGGGGGTATCAGTGCCTCAAGTTCTTCCCATTCAGCCCCAGACCCGGAGCTCTATCCCCAAGGTGGGGGACCTAGTCCTAAGATCTCCAGGATCTTCAGAGTTTCCCAAATCCAGAGGAGACTGGAAGCTGGCAATCGCTACTTCTTTCCAGCATCCCTCACCGAACTTTCCCCAAAATGCAATGCCCTGGTCTCTCAGCCCCAAACCCGCTCCACTCCTCCTCCACCAGTGGGTTGATCCAGTTAGGATCTTTGCCTATAGTGTGCTCACCTGGCTTGCCTTCTCTGCAGCTCCTGTTGGTGAAACCTTGGTGGGCTGGCATCAGTGGGGGGGTCGAGGCGACTGACAGCTTTGGCTGAAAGACTTCCCCACCCTTACTCCAAGGCCAGAGCCAGGTCCAGGCACCCCACAGCCACATCACCCTGGCAGCCTCCAAGCTCATACGCCTTTGAGGGGAAGTGAAAGAAGTGTTGATCTCGAGGGTCTTTGGCTTACCCAGAGGGGAAGACCTGGAGGGGGAAACTTGGGTGGGGGACGGCCAACAAGCACCTCTGCCACCCAATTCTCAAATTCTCCCTTTAGCCTTGGCATTTGCACACAGAGGCTACGACAAGAACCAGTGTCACCACACTCCTGCTTCTGTCCCCTCCCCTCCTCCCCCCTCCCCTCCAAACCCACGGATGGGGCAGCCCTCACTCCCGTGGTGTGAGCATTTTAACGAGGCCCGCGGTGAGGAAATCCGTTCCCTGTGAGGCCTGACTGGGCTCGTGGCCCAGTTATAGGCGCGTTCGGAGGCCAGGCCCTTTGCTCAACAGACACCCAGGCCTCCTCCTCCTTCCCTGGTCGTAGGGACCGCGCTCTTAGTGAATTGGAAACGGCCGGCCCAGGGCGCTAGCCCCCAAGTGTGGGCCTCATATATGTCTCAGGAAACGCGACCTTTTCCGGCCGGATCCAGGGAGCACAGGAGGTCGCTGCCTTGTCCCGGGCCTGCGGGCTAGGGCTAGAGCTCTCCAGGATGCCCCCAGGCCTGCCCACTCCGCCAGCTCCGGCCCCTGCAGCAGGCTTGACTCGAGCGACTGCACGCCGGCATCCCGGGAAGCAGACCGCTCAGGCCTCGGCGGGCGGCGGCGGGGAACGACCCATGCATCCCGGGTGATTTGCCAGGCACTTGGCCTTGTTCTTCCCAATATGGACCCAGTCGGAGGAGGAAGCCGAGCCTGAGAGGACCCAGAGAGAGCGTACGGGAGAGCAGGCGGCAGAGTCCCGGCGCCGGCTTCTGAGATGTAAGCACGCAGTTGCGGTCTCTGCCGGCAGCGGCTGCTCAGCTCGGCGCGCAGCACCCGGAGGCCGCGCCACCGCTTGCGCTGCGCTCCAGCCACTTCTACCTCTGCGCCCCGCGGTGACCGGCTCCGCGGACTGGGCCTCTGGGGTGGAGAAGAGAGGAACAGAAAGAGAAAGAAAGGAAAAGAGGAGAGGACAGAGGGAGAGAAAAGAGAGGTAGAAAAGGAGACAGCCAACTCTCTCCAATCCGACAGGATCTTGAGGCGGCAGTAGCATCGCCGCCGCCGCCGAATCAAGTGAGGGGTCGTTGCCGAGATCAGGAAATGTCCCTCGCTCTCCATATTGCCCAAACGCACAAGGCCAAGGCAAATTTTCATCAGGCTAGGCCCACGAGGTCAACGAACTTGAGGAGCAGAAGTTTCAGAATAAGGCAGCCTAGGACCTTTCCCCAGATGGGCTTGGTCCTTACCCGGCTGTTCAGGAGAGTGAAACTGACTAGGACGGTTGTGTTCAGCAGTGCTACTGGAAAATGCCACAAAGCCAAGGGCTGCCTGAGAAGGGGGCTTCGCCCCTTAGTACTGTTCATGCCTATCAGGAAATTTCTGCCCAGGGGGAAGTAGGTTCCAAGTATATGAGAGGGTCCCTTGAGAAGAATGAGCCCCAGCAGGCAAGTGGGCCAGGACTGGGTGCTTTTTCAGTCAAAATGAGGCAGGAAGCAACTTCCCAGGCCACAGGTTCCGAAGGGCCAGTGACCACAGGAGAAAAATGCTTGAGATAGTGGAGGCTAAATAAAATAAAGTGAAAGACAATGATCTAAACTTGTCTTTCTTAATATTTTTGAAAGTTGGACCCCCTTTGGTAAATCTAAGGCCATGTTCTGACTCTTACCCTGTGAAAAATGCGAATCTGTGCATTCCCACAATTTGACCCAGTCATTTTCAGGGAATTCACAGACCCCCTCAAAGCCTTTTCCTTGGCCTCTCCAGAATGTTCCAAGACTCTGGGAATTCAGTAGCCCTGCCAGTTTGACTGGTAAGACAAGCTGGGTTCCCAGCTTAGGCAGATCAGGCCCCGTCTAGTCAGAGCTCTGTAGGGTGGCCAAATGGCCTTCTAGGCTGAATGGGATCCAAGAGCATGCACACTCCAACCAAGGTTACAAATATCAGTTTGGTGCCGTGTCTGTTATGAGAAGGCCACTGCAGCTGAGGAGTAGAGGAGGTGGAAAGCTGGCTGTGGGCTCACAGACCATGGCATTGGCACTTGGGTCTTCACAGACCTTTGGGGAGAGTTGGATGTTTCTCCCTAGTGTCTTTCCCCCCTTATAATAAGCCAAATAGAATGTTGAGTTTGTGCTGTTTCTTGCTTGAAAACAAAACAAAACAGAATACACGTAAGCCCGCGTGGGATCTTCTCTCTGGCCCACGTCTGCCATTCTACCTCCACTGCTGAGCCGAGAGTGAGAGTGAATGGAGAGCCCATGGGTGCACTTGGGACACAGATTGGCTTGCCCCACTGGTTTGGACAAGAAGATATCCACACAGCAGAAGCTCAAGTCAAATGCCTGCTGCCTTCTCAGTTAGTCTCGGAGCTCCCAGCATCCCGACCGCCCCCAAGGCTCCATACTCCCCAGACTGTAACACCGAGGTGTTAGCTTCCTCAATAAAATATTCCATTTATTGATCATCTCAGCTTTCCTAGGGTTCCCCACCCCCAAGAAATTAAGAAAAGCAATTCAATGGTCGGCTTCTGGACACTCTCCCTCTAGCCCATTTGCCTTCTTTTTCTCTCTTTCCTCCTCTTTCCCAGCTGCCGAATTTCTCTCTTGGTGGTCAGAATGCCTTTGACCTAAAACTCTTTGGTGTCTGCCTGCTTCAACCAGGCCTGTGCAGTTGCCGGAGGCCCACATTTTATTTAGGAGTAAATATTGCTCATTTCTACCTGGTTCATTACACCCCCATTCAGCTATGGAGCTGAAGTAAATGCCAGGCTAGTGAAATAAGCCCTCTGTTGAGAATTACCCTGCAGTTTACCAGATAGTGGATTCCCTCTCCTGAGTAGGCCCTTGCAAACCACGAGAAATAATAAACTGTTATTACAAAAAAAATTCTTACAAAGAGTACCAGGTACTGAGATTGAGCTAGCTAGTAAACAATTTGTATCTGGAGATTGCTCTCAGTGCTTTCTGGGCACAGTATTATCTGATCGGCTGTGGAGTTGAGATGCAGCCCCGGAGAGGGAAAATAAATGCTACTTTGACATATTCGGCTTTAACAAAAATTCTGGACTGTTTCGATTCATGTATTTACCCCATAGTTTAAATTTTGGAAGGAGCAAAGACCTGCTTCTCCCATTCGTCTTTAAGAATGTCAACATTTTCAGGAATACAGTATTTGATGTGTCTTTTAGAATCAGTCTATCCCTAAATAATCTGCTTAAAAGTTTTTTCTAAATCCAACCACTGAACTGGCCCTTCTCTCCTGATGGGGGGAGTGTTGGAGACTTTTCGTACACCCCTCACATACACCCCTCAATTGCAATATCCTCAGTTTTGTCCATCATAAACTGCCTCTGGCCTGGAAACGATATTAGGAAAAGCTTGGGCTGCAAAGAGCACTGTGTGGGCACCCACTCCTTGCTTTATTCTGGCAGAGTTTGAGAGACCATACTCAACAAAGGCTGGTGACTGTGATCGCAAAAGTATACACTCATCCACGGCAGCGGCTACTTTCTCTGAGATTCCCCCCCCCCACTCACCCATGCATGGTATATTTGTAAAAAGAAAATAACCATTTCAAGAAACTAATGAAAACATACTGGAATAAAAAAATTAAATATAGGAAAAGTGGGAATTTGAGTTTGACTTCCAAAATGTAAGTGATATGATTATTTTAAACTTGTTTTATGACAACTCTGGTGGAGAGATTGTTTGATCAGGGTTTATCCTCACTGCCAGCCTTGGGAAAATGTATAGGTATTTACCAATACAATTTTTGCACATTTGCAAAATATGCAAAATATTTCATTTTTACATCTAAGAAATTGCTGCAAACCTCCAGCCAGGTTTATAGCGGTACAGTCCAAATAAGCAACACAGGTTTCTCTGGTAGCCTCAAAAATATAATGCGACTTCTCTGTATCAGTCTTTTTCAGAACAAAGGTTACCTCCAGTCTGTTGGGCAAACCTAAAGAACACACCTAGTAGGAAATCAGCTACTTCCCTGACTTCTGCCCAAGGGAATAAGCCTGCCCCAGTGAACACAGTCGCTGACCACTTCATTGTTTCGAGGAGAAACTCTGTTTTCCCCAATCCCGCCATCTCCCCCCCCCCTCCTTTTTTTTAAACCACCATAAGCCGGTATGCCAGTACAGCCAGGAGGATGTTCCCCATCCCTGGTTCATCCCGTTCTGAGTATTTCTACAAAATCTAAAGATCGCCTCAGGTGAAATGCTGGCGCAGAGAGTTAAAACCATCAACTTCTCCACTGGGGCCTCCTGCTGCTTTCCAACCTTAGGGAGCGATGGGAGAAGGGGGGTGGGGTGGGTTGAGCGCCTATAGCGTCACCCCCAAGCTCACACACCCAGCCACTTTCCCCAGCCCTGCTCAGACACCCGGCCCCGCTCCCGCCCCAGCCAGATTGAAATTGCTAAACTTGTGGCCTCTTACCTTGACACATTTCCGAAATCACTGCCAAGGGACAGCTGGCTTCTCCGCGCCGCGACGCCTGCGAGGCCTAGAGAAGGCGCATTGCTTTAAATTACACCACCAACCACTTCTTGAAGGTGAGCCCCCCCCTTTTTTTGATACGGAGGAGAGCGGGACAAGTGAAATAAGGTAACGTGCTGCTCTTAGTATCAGAAGCGAACAAAGGCCAAGAATCGCGCTGGGGTTCCCAGCTCCCCGGCGGCTTTGACATTGATCGGAAGTGCGCCATCTCGTGGTGGCCGAGCGCCTAGACCCGGCCCGAACTCCTGCCCGCAGCCGGGAGAGGAGAGCAGGCTCAAGGCAGAGACAAGGAGAGAATGTGCCCAGCCCGCTGCTAAAGAGATCTCATTTTTACATCTAAGAAATTGCTGCAAAACCCCAGCCGGGTTTATAGCGGCGCATTCCAAATATGCAAATTGGCCGGCCCCGGACGGGTTTACGACCACATTGTCACAGCCATCGGAGGATGGGCTTTTATAGGGCTCAGAAATCAAACCCGCGCCCGCTCGCCGCCGCCCGCCCTCGAACAGTCCTCCTGGCTAGACTCTCCCTAGCAACTTGTGAGACTTCGGTTAATCTTTAACCGTCCCAAAGGAAGTCTTTCCTTAAATCCTTGGCTTCCCTGCCCGCTCCCTCCCTGCCCCGCAGGAGAGTCCTTGTTCACCTCTGTGTGTCTGTCTATCAACCTAGACATTCATCTCGGGGTCTGTCCCATTCCCCTTTGAGCTTGATTTCCCCAGTCGCGCCAGTTAGACAAACACGCAAACAAATAAACAAAGCGGGGGTCTGGGGTCTGGGGCCTCTCTCCAAATTCCATCCCCTCTGCTGCTGTCTCTGATCCTGCCTGGGTGGCTAGGGAGAGAGAATGGGATGGGGTGGAATGGGATGGGATGGGGTGGGGTGGGGTGGGGTGGGGTGGGGTGGGGGCGGGAGTGGGGGTCAGTGGGGGTGGGGGGGATGGGGGGGTGGGGGTGGGGTGGACAAACAAAAGGCACTGGCCTTTCACCCTGCCCCTCAAGGTTATGGGTGATGTCCAAATTTAAGGCAGAAGTTCAAAGGCAGGAAACAAAGAAAACCAGCATCTTTCTTTCCCCAAAGGGGAAAGGCAGCCTCAGCTGGGAGCTGGGGAGAAGGCGCCCTTAGATACTCCTGTGGGTCTGCTCCTTGCACCCAGACCAGTCTCCCCCTACTGAAGGACTCCCCAGGGCACCCCTGAGTGCTTCCACTTCAGGCCTTCTAGTCTGGAAATGGGTGAGCCCAGCCTGGGATCAGACCCATTGGCCAACTCAAGTCCCAAGGCTTTCTCCCAGGGCTGTGTCTGTCTGAGGGGATGAAGCGCCATATTCCAGGCCCTGGGATACCCCATTCCTGAGACCCCACTTCCCCAAAGGACCTGGCCATTCATCTTGACTTCCTAAGCCTGGCTTCTAATGGAGTTAAACCCTGAATAAGCCACCTCCCCACCTCCTCAGAGGCCTAGTAACTTGCCTCTTTCCTAAGGGGGGTAGTGGTGTGTGTGTGGGGGGTGACATTTGGCAGTAAAAGGCGAGTAGGGACAGGAATGTCACACCAGGACCCAATACTCAAGTTTCCACAGTCTTTATTTTCCTTGTGCCCTGTCGCCTATATACATGCTGCGACTTACGCGGTGGGCTAGAACAGAGGACAGGCCATCACTCCCTTTATACACAGAGCCACCAGATGCTTCTTCACATGGGGAGGCAGAGGAGATTTAATGGGAGGGTGTCTACCTTTCTCAGCTGAGTTCCCCACACCCTGACTGGCTGAACTGCCTCAGAGTATCTCCCTAATGCTTTTCAAATATTGCAAAAAATTAAAAAGACCATTCCCAACACCCTTCCCGTCCCCTCCAATACCCCAAAGGCAATCTACTAATGGCAAAAAAAAAAAGTATTGAAACAAAATAGGTTATGGTTCCTTTATTTACAAGTCTTTTGAACACCATCCCTGTATGAAGCGTACATTCAAATATTTTTAGCAGTGAGTGAGTTTAACCGTGGAACACTGTAAACAGATAGAGCCTTTAAATATTCTCTTCATCATCTTTCTCCCCCCCTCTACATTGCATCTTTTAAAATTCACTTTGGTTCTTGCAGGGAAATATATATATATAATATAATATTTATCTTTTAAAATAATTCCAAATCACTCTTGAGCTCTTAGAAGGTCACCGAAAGCTTCCAAGCTCAGTTCTAGGGTGGCGAAGGGCAGAGTGCGACGTTGAAACTGGGTGTTTGGGGGACTCAAGCTCCTCATAGCTGGGGACTGCTGGCCAGGCCTGCTGCTTCACTGAGCAAATCCAAGCTTGAATTAAGTGTGGCATAGACTTTGCCAAATTGCCGCACTCCACAGGCATTTCCTGCAGGGATCCGGGGGCCAGCGGCCTGGGTGCAGCCTCTAGGCTTTTTGATATCTTCCACCTCAGGGAATGGTCTGCTCTGCTACCAGGCTTTAGGCCCAAAGTGGCAGGCCAGACGAAGACCCTCGTCGATAGGAAACACTAGGTGGGTTGCAGAAGGCAGTTGACTGCTAGAAGCTCGGGCCTAGGACAGTGCGGTGAGTGGCTAGGAGGAGTGGAGAGCCACTGATGCCACCTGGGATGGTAGATTATTTTTCCCCTCAAGGATCAACAGCCTTCTCCCACCTCCCATCGACCTCTTAATCCAGTCATCTTTCACATTAACTTTGGAAAGCAGTCCCAATCCAGACATCTAGGAATCCTCTCCTTTCCTTCTGCTCCTTTTCCCAAACTGAATTGGGTTTGGCGATCTTGACACAGGGGTCCTAGAGGTGACCAGGCTCCGTGTGGAGGGTCCTGGGTTGGGATAATTTTCCACGGGGGGCCGGGAAGGGGGCCCAGTCCCTGATGGAGACCACACCCAGCCCATAGCTCTAGCAGTCTCCAAAGGTGAACCACCAGAGGCCCCAAACCATTCATTCTCGTTGATGCACAACTCTCTGAATCCAAGTATCATTAGAAATCTTAACCACCACCGGGCGGTCTCCTTCCAGGCTGTCTCCGTGTATTGCCTTCCTTCTCTTGCACATTTCCTTTCTTCAAAAGTCACCGCATGCCTTGACCTTGTCAAGGGCAAAATCTGCATATAATCTCCTGTGTATGAAGCCCCCCTCCCAGGTCCAGCTGGCTGGAGCCTTTAGAGAAGCGGATTGGCCGAGTAGTACTGTAAACGGTCTCTGTTAATTTTTTTTTCCTTCATTCTTCTGTTCTGAAACCAGATTTTGACCTGACGGTCGGTGAGGTTGAGCATGCGGGATAGTTGCAGGCGTTTCTCTTTGTTGATGTACACACTGAAGAAGAATTCGCGCTCCAGCTCCCGGATCTGGTACTTGGTGTAGGGGCAGCGTTTCTTTCGGGTTCGTTGGCCACCTGTGAAGGCCGAAAGAGGCAGGGAGTGAGCCAGGTGTGACGGTTGCAATCCATCCCAGAGCCCCAAGTGAAGGGAAAGGGCCAGCCCCAGGGAATGGAAGCCCTGCCTCATGCCCAAGCAAGGTTCCCCCACTAGGTCCCTGCCTTCAGGCTCTTACTGCCGGCTGGGGGAGAGGCTGCGGGAGGAGGCTCAGCTCCGGATAAAAGCCAGCTCCCTAGATAGGCCCCCAGGGAAGCTGCTTACTCTGCTCCGGAGCAGAAAGGAGGGTACCTCACTGCAACAGGCGAGTTAGTGCCGCGGAAACCGCTTTCAAAGCAGCGAGTGGGGGTTGCCGGCTGCCTCCAGCCCGGCCAGACTAAACAAACAGCCGCCCGCGACCATTTCACCTTCCAGCACCTGGGAGGCCGAGTCCCGAGGCAGTAAAGGCGGCCCCAGCCCCAGACTTTACCGGCTTTGGCGGCACTCGGCCCTCCTTAACATCTGGGGGCAGCTGCCGGGTCTTTGTCAGCCTAAGTCCTGGCCACCAGCTCCTGCCTCTCCGGCCAGCACCCTGGCTTCCGCGGGGTGGGGAGGTGGCAGCGGAAGCCCCCTACTCCGGACCTTCCCTAAGGACCAAGGCCACCCAGCCATCCTGGTGCTCTGGCAGGGCTGGGGTGCTGTCCCCGATAGGCTGGAGGACAGAGGGGTTTCCCAGAGCTGCGGGCAGGCTCGACTTGCACCCCTTTCAGTAAAACGCCACTAGAAGTAAAGACAAAACCCGCTTTTGACAGATTGAATAACAATTCTAACATGCAGTCGGACACAAGGCAGCGCACGTAATTGCCACTGCGCCCAAGGAAAATGGCTTCCTTTGGACAAAAAGGCCAACTTTGGGTTAATTTGTTTCTTTTAATATATTGCTCGAGCTAAGCGGGCTATTTTATCTGTTAAACACGCTCCTAGCGCCATCGTTAAACAGCGATGCCTTTGAATCCCGGCCGGGACTGGAGTCCCGGCGCAACACATGGCTTTTATAAAAATCTCCGGATTACCTCGCTATCAAAGGCTCCCGAACCCTTGCAGGGAGAATTTACAGGCGCCCACCTCCGGCTCCCCAGCCCTGAGTTGGCCCCGAGCGGGGTCGAGCTGCTGGGCTTGGGAGCCGAGAAGGGAAAAAAAGGGGGAAAGGGAGGTTTTTTGTTTTGTTTTTTTTTTTTTTTGCAGGCATGCCTTGGCCGGTGGGTATTTCACGGCCAATTTCAGCACTCGCCACGTGATCCCGCCTTTTATAACAAAGTTTTGTTGGGGGGAAACCTAAAGGCCCTTCATAAACCTTATATGCTTATAAAACAGCATATAAAAATTTAACAGCGGTGCTGCGCTAGATTTCCAACTCCCCTTTCATAAAGCGCTGGGCGCGCTGCCTTTTATACGTACTGGAGCCGCCGGCCTTGTCCTCAGTGTGGCCGGAAGACGACTCGGGGCTGCTGCTGCTCTCGGGGCGCCGCCGCCGCTCCTTTTCCTCCGCCGCCGCCGCCGCCTCCCGGCAGCCGCCGGCGCCGCTGTCCGAACTTGAAGTTGCCGGCGTGCCCGTGGCCGCTGCCGCCGCCGCCGCCGCCGCCGCGGAGGTCGCCGCGGCCGCCGGGGGCCCCTTCTCGGCGCTCTTGTCCCCGGGGTAGTCGGAGGAGGCGAGGTTTTCCGGGGTGCCGTAGGCCGTCTCGAAAAACTGGTCGAAAGCCTGCGGCAGGACGCCGTTCCTGCCCACGGTGCTATAGAAATTGGACGAGACGGCGGGGGTGGGGTGGTGGTAGACGTTGGCCGAGCTCTTGGCCAGCACGTCGCCAGGCACGCCGGCCGCGCTGGGCGCCTGCAGGCAATCTCTGTGCACGAGCTCCTCCGCGGAGTAGCAGTGGGCCAGATTGCCGCGGGGGTGCCATTTACTGGCGGGCTCAATGGCGTATTCTCTGAAGGTCACTTCGCGCACGGGTTGGACCTGGGGCAGGTTGGAAGAGTAGGAGTATGTCATTGGGCGCGAAGACGGGGTCTGGGGTAGAAAAGAAGGGAGGCTGGAGAAATCTGGACCCGAGACGTAGTAAGTACAACTTGGCAAATACATGTTAGAGGAGCAGGGACCACGCTCATCAAAATCCATCATTGGGCTACCTTGGGCTCTCCGCAGTAGCCGAGCTTAACATGATTCTCCACTGCAGCTGCCTCTTTGAAGCGGATCCGTGAAGTAGAAATTTGGAGACGTAAGCTGACGTGGAAATCTATCCCCATCCTTAGCAGGGAGGTGCTGGTCATGTGACCCGATGTTGAAATTGACAAGCTGCGAGCGAGTCCGGGTTTTTTTTTTTTTTCCCCCTTTCCTTCCCCCCCCCCTCCCTCCCCGGCTTCCTTTCTTTGTAGCCACCTCAGGGGAAGCAACAGATCGTCACTCGGTGTTCTCACCGAAAGCACGTAATCGCCGGTGTAACTCATGTTGGCTGGGGGGCCTCCCGGCGCGCGGCGAGGCTGGGTGCTACCCCGTGCCAATTGCTTGTGCTCAGCTGCACGGTGCTGGCCTTTGAGTGCGCCGAGGGCGATGAGAGAGCTCAACTGCCACCCACCTCTCCCCGGGTGAGGGATGCCACACGCTGGGGGTGGCCGGGTGGGAGCTCGTCGCTGCGTGGCCCGTGCGTGGTCTTGGAATCTATCCGCCTGGAGGCTCGCGTTCGCACCTCCTTCTGCGCTGTCCCCCTCCCACAGGCTTGCTCTGGGAACCACCTCTGCCTCCGATCCTGGCTGGACCCCCTTCGGGGCCAGGGTTCGCAGCCGTGGATGTGACTGCCTCGTGGCTTGCCCGATTTGCACGGTGACTTGATTACACGCTCGCATTCATGGTCACTTCCGAAGCGCTTTAGTGCCTTCCGTCCCTAAACCGCCAACAACCAGGGCGGCTTCCCCCGCGGTTTGTCAGGGATCCGCAGGTCCCGGAAGGGCCTTCGTCTCACCCGGGATCCACCTCTCTTTCGTTCTCCCTGCTGGCCTCCTCACCCCCGCCCCCACGCCCTGCCCTTGGAGAAACCCGCTCCTTCTCGCTGTCTGCCGGGGTTCGGAGGGACTCAACAGAGCCAGAGGCGCGGGGGCTGCGCCGCTGCGCACTGATCCGCCAGCCGGGTCTTCCGGAGCTGAGGACTCGGGAAACCATGCGGTTGAGGCGAGCCTTGGGCGGCTTCACAGGCGCTGACATCCGAGGAGACTACTCCTGGGTATGCTGCACCTTCCTGGAGCCCACATCTAAGCTCCAGAGCTGCAGGGAGAGTGGGGGGCAGTGAGCAGAGGGCGAGGGCCCGGGAGCCGTGGCTGAGAAAGAGGTAACGCGCCTCCTTTCCTCTGCAAAGCCTGAGGGCCAGGGATGTGCAGGGCAAAAACTCAAAAGGACCGAGGCCTTTCCTGCTACTCATCCCACGGAAGGGACACAATGCCAAAGAAAAGAGATGTCCTTCCGAAACTCCCAGCACTTTGGATGAAAAGAACGCTTTGAAAAGGCTAGGTCTGAACTAAAGATACAGAGGTCATGGCGGCTAGGATGAGTCTAGGTTTCTTGGGAAGAGGAAAGACAGAAACTTGAGATGGTGAAAACTGCTTTCCATCCTCCAGGACTGAATGAACAATATTTGGGAGAAGAAGAGGAGGGCATAGAGCAGCCAGGCAGGGCCAGGAGCTGGGAGGGGTCCAGCTTTGAGGCCTCTCCACAGCTATCTTCTTGGAAGGAACTGGATGCCGCTGAAGGAAAGTTGAAAAATGAAAAAGGATAACCTTTTCCCTTTCCCCATCCAGGAAATAGCTGAAGGTATTTATATATCTTGGGGAGATTTAGAGTATAAATTCTAAGATCTTTGGTATTTAAGTGTCAACATCGATTTATTTATTTATTGCTGAGCTGACTGTAACTGACTCAATAACAAATCTAATCATGTATTGCACTGGAAAAGAAATTTCTCATTATGTATTTTCTCCAAATGATGGCCCACCATTGCATTTGAATACCCGCTGTAAATATCAATAATATCGGGTAATTACTCTGTAGTGGAGTAAACTAATTTATTAGCATTCATGTTTATGTGGCTCCTACCCCCTCCTTTACAGGGGTTGTATATCACAAATCAAACTACTGGGACACATTGGTTTAATGAACTCTTTATTCAGGATTTGCTGCAAGAACTTCCATGCCCCTTGAATCCCTGAGAGCTGAACTTAAAATTATTTGTGCATCTTCAGCTTGACATATTTGTCCACAGTGGCTTGTGCAGAGGGCAGTATCGGTGAGAGTGAGAAGGTCTGGTGGGAAAGAACGTCGTTTGGGAAGGGTAGCTTGAGACCTCCTAAAGCTGGGGATCACAGTTGCAGGATTGCCCTACAGCAAAAAAAACTTCTATTTCCAGCGGCGACCAACAAGACAAAATATTTATTTCCCTACAGCATCTTTCTTGAAGACTGAATATAAAAGAGAGAAGGAGAGGTTTTCAAACGGCAGTATTTAAGTCATACCTAGGCTTATTTTGGCTCTCTCCAACTCTCTCCCAGCAGCCCACCCAGTCCCCGCCACCCCGACCCTCGAACAAAAGGAATGCTTGAGGGGTTTCAGTGACTTTGCCATAACAAAGGCGCCACCACTGCGGGGCTTGCCCCGCCCCTGGGTGAAGGCAAACAAATTCTTGCACTTGTATTAGGGCTTTTAAGACTATAATTGAGCCTGGGGGCGTCTAGGAGAACCGAAAACAGTTCTAGACAGACCTGGGGTTTTATAGCAGTGTTGGCAGTCAACTTCAGCTTGTGCCTGAGCAGACCGGCTGCGGTGGCCCGCCAGCGGGGGACGCCAGGCTATCAACCCTGGCTGCACACAGCCCCTCTCCCAATTAGATCAGTTTTCCCCTTAATGCCAGGGGGAGGGGGGTTACCCCAGAAAGGTCGGTATAGGGACCTTCTCTTCCACAGAGCCAGTGCCTTCCACTTTCTTGAGAGCTGAGCTAAGAGGGTGCTGGTCAGTCTGGATCCCATGGGTGTCTGCAGGAGACAAAGGCGAATTCCCGAGGAGCGGCTGGGGGTAGGGAAGGTGCTCTGGGAGCCGCTGGCAGAACTGAAACGGGGTGCAGGTAGGGTCTTGCAGCCTGGAAGGGGGCAAGTGGGGGCGCCGCCATGAAGATAGTTGAGAATAAAAGCTTTTGATGCCAGAAGAAGGGAAACTGCCTGGAGCGGTGAATGCTTTTTAGTTCTGCAGCAGGGACAGGAGGGGGTGCTCAGATCCCTAATGCTGCCAACAGTTCCCAGCTTTGCCTGCTTCTCCCCCCTCTGGCCTGGAATATACTCATGCTGTGAATGTTTTTTTGGGGGGAGGTGTTCGGAGGTGGGCGCAGCTCTGAGGATTAGACCAAATCTTGGGGAGGCAGAGCTTTGGGTCCTTGGTTTTAACTTTGCTCTGAGCCTAATTGACTCTTCCACTTTGCAGGAGGACCAATAGCCAAGTTGAGCCCACCCGGCTCAAGAGAACACCCGATGGGGTATAAGTCCGCCCTGGAAGGCCAAGTGCGAATTGTGTTTTGTTTTTTTGAGGAGTCCAGGATGGGCACGGCTGTGACATTGGCCCTGGAGACTGATTTCCCACGAGCTGTTCTTTCTCAGAAGCTCCACAGTGCAGGACCATCTCCAGAAAACAGTCTTCAGCGTGTATTTCCTTTTATCGTCAACCCAGAGCCCAACGGCAGCTATTGCGAGAGGCCAAAAATGTTTTGGAGGAAGAAAAACAAAGGCAGGAAGTGGCGGCGGCCTGACGGTGCGTGTGTGTCTGCGGAGAAGGGAGGGAGCCATTTCAATCTCTTCTTGTTTTTCCAAACTTCAAGGTCTAGGCAGCCCGTCGCTCCCGGTGCAGCATTTGGAGATGGCCACCCGGACAGGCGAAGGCTGGCGCCCGAGCCAGCCTCGTCAGGCGGAAACGGCTAACAAGGCGATTTGCTCAGCAGAGTAGACCAAGTCTTTCCAAATTTCATTTGATTTGGCCCTAAAAGTCAGGGGTTGGGGGATTCTGCAACGCCTCCCAGACCTTCCTCGGCAGGCGGGCTGAGTGTGCCTTGCCGGGGATTCCTGAGCTCTGCACTCCACTCCACGCCTCTTCCCAGGTGGGATATGGGAATAAAGTGTGTCCAGGTGCATCTACCCAGCACTGCCGCCTCCCCTTCTTCTTGCAGCCGAGGGGTCTGGGAAGCAGCTGGAGGGTGCCTGCTGGCGGTGCCCAGGCTAGGTAACCTTGGCATGGTCAGTGCACATCAGGGCAAAGTGAGCCTTTTTACCTGAGTTATCCTGTGTGTGCATGTGTGTTGTGGGGGGGGGGGGACGGAGAGTTGTTTCAAGCATCGTCATTCAAGGAACATGAGCAGAAAGGACCGTCACTTGATAGGCAGCCTAACAACTGTTCATTCCAAGGGAGGATAGAATTGGGGGGCAGGGAGTGCCTCCAGACTCTGGAGACTCAGACTCATCCCTAACTGATCATGCTCCTGGGTTGCCTTCTTCTCTCTTTGGGGCTGACTTGGACTCTGGCAGTGGCTCATTGTCCCTGAATCTGAGAATGCGATGTCTCAGCGCCTGCACTTGCAGCCCTCAGACTGCTCAGTGCATAACCCTTAACATGAATGCCAACAGCAGGCTGCCCGCTCACTTCGTTTCCTCTCTAACCATCGTCTGTCTCTATCTCCCTGTGGCTCCTGCTTGCCAGTCGTCTGCCCTGCCCATTTCCAGCCAAGTCTCCCTTTCTGTGGCCTCTTGCCTCTTCTGATACTTCCCCTATGCTGAGCCAGAGCTGAGGTGCCACTGGAGGCCACTCGGTTTGGAAAACACAGTTTCTCTGGAAGCTGGTTAGGTTCCTGACTCTTCTCCCAGTTCAGGCCTCCACCAGGGGTCTGAATTGGACCTCTCACCTCCTTCTTCTGAACATTCTATTCCAAGGCCCTACCAGGCTCTTTTTCTCTCCCTCCCTCTCTCATCAACACTCCCTTCTTCTCTTCTTGGAACTCAGCTCCTGCTTTTCTAAGCCTGGCAATCTTGGATGGCAGCTGGCCTGGGAGGGGCAAGGCCCACCTGACAGACCAAAATTCACTCCTAAAGATCTGTGGTTGTTTGTGGATCACATAAGGTACCTTTTTTTTTTTTTAATTGCTGATCTGAGCCCCTACCTTCCTCTGTTCCCAAATGTCACACCTGTTTCTAGAAAACCATAGCAAAAACTGTGGCAACCCTTGCACATTGTACACAGGTGCAAGAGCCAGATGGAGGACCCAGGATGAAAATGGCTATCAAGCCCTTCACAGAGTTGGAGGCCAGGTTCCCATTTGGAGGCTTTCTGTGTCCAAGTGGGAGATACCCTGGAGGTACATCTGTCTTCCTTGGTAAAGCCCAGGAGATCTCCTAGAATTTGTTCTTAGGAAATGGTCTATTGGCAAATCATGGCCAACTTATCACATTTCAAGACACTCTCTAGAGGAGACACTGAGGCTTCAATAAAATATCAAGAGACCCCCTTCTATCATGAAGGATGTTGGGGTTAATTTATCTCCCTGGCTAGAAGAGACACCTGTTCCCCCTCTCCCTCAAGCTCTTCCTCCCTTCCCTAAAGTACAGGAACAGGTAATGCCTTGAACTTGAACTTACAGTTGACTCTTTTCTGACTCAAAGTTTAAATCTCCAAGGTCCTTAAACATCTGAAGAAGTCCACATCCTTCCCGTGGCTACTGAGGCATCGGGTTTAGCAGAGGGTCTCAGACACCCAAGCAATCTGGTTACTGTTTAGTTTAGTGTGTCCCAAAGTGATGGGAAAAAGAGAGTTACTTCCTTTGAGAAGAACTATTTTTATTTTTATTGTTGTGGACTCATTAAATAAGATTTTTTCCCCTACTGAGTGGGAATAGATGAGGGGGTGGGGGCTGAAGGGCAAAGCCCTGGTTCTCAGTGTCTGCCTTCCATTCTCCCTGCAACTTCGCCCCAAACGGGATTTCCCCAGCCAAGGATATCTGTAATAAAGAGGACAAAAGGCAGAGGGCAGCCCAACCCAAAGGCCAGCTCTGGTCCTGGGGTGGGGGTAGGGGGGCGTGTCTTAGTCTTGATCACTGTGGCTCACAGGAAGCTCCCCTACCCCAAGCTTCAGCTACCACTGAGGGCAGTTCCCCCAGGCTCCTCTGGTTCTTCTCAGCCTGAATCCATGGCTCACATTCCAGGCTGGAGAAGAGCTAGCCCCTGCCTCCTCAAACCCTGCCCTAGGAGTCTCCCCCATAGGCCCTAATACTCAGTTCTGTGATGGTACCTATTCACAGACAGTCCTTCTGCCTACTGTCCCCTGAAGACCCTGCTCCACACGTGCAGCCCTAGGGATAAAGCCCTGCTTTTCTATATGCTGTGACAAAAAGACAAAATCATTTACAGGGCCTCTTTGATTCACCTGGAGCAATAAGCTCAGAGGAGGACCAGATTTAAGCGATTGACCACTAGGCCTGAAGTCATGACCTGCTGCAAGCAGGCAATGGGCAGAGGGAAGGGACCCCCACCCCTCCTCAGTACAGTGACGGGATTGTTGGGGTGGGGGGCGGCTGGGAGTCAGAGAGTTTTACCTTTGGCAGAGTGCACCTCAGGGTGGCCCATATTTTAGGCAGGAGAAGCACAGGCAAGTTCTCACCAAAGGCCTGCCATACACTGAGGGAGCAGACCTCGACTCAGGGACCTCAAGAGAAGCTCCCAGCAGGTTCCTTGCTTCCCCAGCCTATTCTACGCCCACCTGGCCTGGTGGCCCCTGCCAGGTCCCTGTCTCTCCCAGAGCTCAGAACTCAGATCCAGCCGCATCCACTCTACTGAGCTTGCAGGTTTTGCCTCTCACCCAGGCTAGGCCTCCGCGGGCTCAGTTCTTCTGGGACTCGACGGGAACACAGCCTGGGCCACCTCTGGCTGCGCGAACTCCGCTTCAATATGGCTGGAGGCGAAGGAGTTGGTCACCAGGAAAGGGCTGCCTCCAGTCCGCGATCCCCGGTTATCAGAACCTGCTTGCAGCCGGCCGGTTGCGTGTCCTGCGTCTTCTCGCGGCGACCGGCCCTGGCCGTGGAGACGGCGGTGGCGCAGAGGACCTGACCTTTATGGCGCGAGAGGAGAGCGCTCTCTAAGCTGCCAGGAGGGGGGTTCTGAGGTTTCCAACCTCTCCCACCCAATAGCAGCCCAGACACCCACGCATGCCTCTCGCCCCTGTTTCCCCCTCCTTTTTGTGCATTGTCCGCAGACCCGCAGCCAGAACAAAGCCCCCAGCAGTGGTCTCTCCATCGCCTTCGAGAGCTCTTGTCCCTATCTCCCCTGGGCCAAAAGGCTCGGAGCTTAAGTCGAGCGGCCTAAGTCCACCCCCCACCTCCCACCCCAGCGCCCTCTTCTCTCCCTTAGCCCCAGCCGCCCTCAGCCAAAGCCAGGGTACTACTCTGCATGCCAGCCGGGCCCCTGCCTGTGCCAAACTCCCTCCCATGCGCCCCGTCCTGGCCTCGGACTGCGGGCGGCGCCGGGCCTACAGCCTAGTCCAGCGCGGCCGAGGCGCGGGGCGCAGCGAGGCCGAGCCTGCTTTCCAGCCCCGAGGAGGGAGGCCCGAATTAGGCCGCCTGGGTCCGCAACGTGCCCGGCTCGCTCTGGGTTCCCTCGGATCCCACCCCACCCATCAGGCCGGGGCTCAGAAAGCGGAAGTATTTGGTGGAGAAAAACACGGTTTCTTTTCAGCCCGTCTCAGAACCCCTTTTAGAGCAAATGCTCCTGTCAAGTTTTATTTCCCGTTGCAAACCACCTTCCACGCTGCCAAGAATTAAGACCGGGAGAGATTAAATACCCGATTATTCTCGTGGGGAGGGAGGGGCAGGAGCGGAGAAGAGGGACCCGCACCAACACTTTCGTTGGACTCGGTTTGTCTGCATCAAATAATGCCCAGCGAGACCCGCGAAGGCCCGCGCGGGCAGAGGTGACGTCAGCCTGCAGCTGCGGGGCGCCGCGCGGGACTGGGGCGCCTGGGCCTGGACCTCGGCTAGCGTCCCGCTGCACGCCCCCTCCGGCCACTGGCCGTCCGGGCGAGGCAGGCTCTCTAAAGCTTTGCGCCTCCATTTTGAGGAGAGTGTTCCTAGGGACGCGCGGAGGCTTCTGAGCCTCCTCGGCCCACGAGGGGCGCGGCATCGGGTGGCTTCCCGGGTCCGCTGCGGCGCCTCTCCCGCGCGTCCTCGGTCCCTGCACCGAGCGAGGGGTGTCGGGCGGCCCCCGCGCCGCTGCGCGACTGCCCGCCAAGGTTCGCACATCTCCAAGGCCTCGCTGTGATGACCGCTTCCCGGTGGATCCAGCTCTTCGGCGGCGCGACGGAGCCAGGCAGAAATGAAATCAACTGTGGCGAGGCCTTGGCTGCTTCCACGGAGTTTTTCTGTGCCAGCGTCCTTTTTTTTTTTTTTTTTCCTCCCTTTCCCTTGAAAATCAAATTAAAAATAGCAAACACCTTTCAGACATTGGTCGGGCGCTAGGCAGATGCGCTAGGACTGAAGCAGCCGATCAGCAAGTGGGTATTTTTATAAAGAATGAAGCCGGCTGTTATTTACACGGCGGCCTGGCGGATGAAAACTTAATTATTGTGTGCGTGTCCTAAACCGAAGCATAAATCTCCCCAGGCCTCTTGGATAACGTTACATCTCTGCTTATGAAAAATGGGATGTGAGCAACTCGCTGCACATTTCTCTGATTCTCCAGGTCTTGGGCTGCTGACACGCATTCGATCAACTTTAAAGGAATGCGCATAAATCAGCGAGCCCCTAGCGTCTCCTCCATAGAAGTTCGCAAATCCGGAAGGGCGCCTCTGAACCCACCCGGTCTGGGGCTTAGCAGTCCCGGGCTGGCTCCGTCTCCGCTACGAAAGAAACTCGGGAATTCGCAGACGGGAGCGAGAACCCGCATCCTCAACAAACCCTCCAAACACACTCAGCAGGATGTAATCCACACATATATTATACGGTGAAATGTGTCATTAGTTACCCGCACACATACGTTATCATCCTAAGCTGAATGTCGCTGCCTCGTGAAGTTTTAAGAAAATATCTCAAATCGGTTGAATTTTTAAAAAGATTAATTTTCTCACCCTTTCTTGAAAATTTTAGTTTTCTGTTAAAAAAAAAACCCCACCAGTTTAAATAGATGGCTTAAGCTCTGTACCAGGCATAAATAGTAGTGAAATGCAAAGTGGCATTTTACAATCATCCACTTAAAATACCTTAATAAATTTGACAGTATTAAGAGCAGATGGAAAGAGTAGTTTTTTTAAGTCCCATATTTACAATTTTAAAAAATGGTAACATGACAGGCCATTACAGGATTAAAAATCATTGTTAATTTGATAGATGGAAATGGTGTCTAGTTGTTTCCATATTATAATTTCTTACTCTGAAAATGTATCCCTTTTGGGGAAAAAAAAATTACACTTGCATCAGGGACTCAACAACACCATCCCAGTGTCTGGCATTATTATCCCTATATGGCGGCTGGCATCCTCCTGGGTGTCTATTTTCTAAAGGTTTAGATTAATTGCTATTTGGGTATTAGGGAACCATCACACGCCATGCTTACTTCAGGTTATCCGGTAGATCCATGAGAATTTTAAGTAAAAGGTAAAATCAACATTACCAATAACTGTTTCAGAAGAGAGAGAAAAAGAGAGAGAGAGAGAGAGAGAAACCTCTGAAATATCTTCTGTCATTAATTTCAAAAACTGAAGGGAGAAAAAAAAGAAAACTACTTTACCCAGAGTTCCTGCAGTGGCGATGGCTTGTGAAAAGGGTGGTATTCCTGCTGCAGAGCTGCTGTTGGCCTTCTTCCTAGGCCTGAGGCTCAGAATATTCCTTACATCTAAAGAAAAATATCCCCCATCAACAGAAGAGTCCCCTTTGGAGCTGTTCGTAAACACACAGTTTGATCCAGCTTTGAGGGGATTTTCCACCACTTTAAACATTTTGGGAGAAAGTTGTTACTTTGGCTGGGTGGCAGCTCATTTAGAAATGGAGTGCTGCAGAACAAGATGTGGGGAGGTTGATTTGAAGCACCATTTTCATTTGTTTCCACAAGTGGAGTGAAAATCCTCAGGGCAGCAAAACTTGATTGCACTTCACAAGACCATTCCATGTGTATGTTTCAAGACCATGCTGTTTTTAGACAGCTTTAGAGATTCTTTCTATAATTCTCCATCTATAAAGGAGTTCTAAGTCTTCAGGTTGGAGAGGTTTCTGTCAGCGTCAGCCAAGTTTGTTATCAACTGATATTATTTTCCATAAAATGATGAATAAGATTACTCGGCTCACAATTACTTTTGTCTTAACATAAAGACAAAATCCACCTCATCTCAAAATTTTGCATCCTAAAGATCTTGGTTCCACCAACATTTCAATGCATATATGCGTAGCATAGCATGTTTTTGACAAAAACTCATCACCTTATGTTTATATCAAATATAGAAACATACATATGTCTTAGTTATGACTCTAAACATAGCATCCAATGTGTTGTTAGGGGTCAATAAGTAGTAGATATGATTGTTATTGCCAGTATAATTTTGATGGTGGTTGTTCATATTAAATGTATATATTTCTTCCATAAACCAAATGGCAGCTTAGAAAACATCAGTATAAGATTGCACACCACCCAGGCACAGCACTTGACTCAGAGCTATCCAGGATAACTCTCCTTCTGCATCCATATTATGGTCATTTTATAGATATGAGATCTTTAAGCTCTCCATACTGACCTCTTAAGAGGTGAGTTTCTTTGAATTTCTGAAATGTAACTCTAGAGCTCTAGAGTTAGCAAGGCATCTGAAACTTTTTATTTACCGTATAGAGATCCCTTACAGCTCTAGTTAGGATGGTAGACCACCTTGGAGGGTGAGGTCCAAGAAAGAAAGGTTATTTAAGAACACCTCTTAGACTGTAACAAAAACGTACAGCTTTAAAGCAGATCTGCAGAAATCTGATGCAGAGGAAGCTGCTATGAATACAAATCAAACTCGGCCATTAAAGAAAAGGAGCAAAACTTCAACATGTAGGGTACATTTTGGACCTCAACATTCAAATCACCTTAAATTACACCATTCTGAGTCATCAGTAATTAACGATACTCTATCTGTACAGATTCTACAAATAAATATACAAGCACACACAAGCACTAATATGCAAATGTATACATGTATACACATATGATATATATTCACATATATACAGGCACGTGTATAACTTACATATATTCAAATTTGCTCCATCTGGTGCCAAAGAAATGAGTACTAAATCTCTAAAACAAGGAGTCAAGGAGGTAAGACCTTTTGATTCCCTTGAAGCTGAAGAATTACAAGGAAGCTTGTCAACGCGAGGTGGCGCCCTTGATCTACTAATCCAGCTGAGGCCAATTCATGAGCTGTCAAAAGTCAAGGTCACAAATTGTCTTTTTTCATCAAGGTCAAGGTTTAAGGCCTTTCCTAGTCCTGTCATTTCAACAAATATCAAAACCTGCCCTTTCAGACACATGCAGACCCAACAGCAGATTTTAAAATACGACAGCCTGGGCATCGCTGATACTAAACAACTGGTTTTCATTTTCCACAAGGAGCCTGGGAATTTATACTATCTCCTCCTCCTTTCTTTTCTCTCCTTTTCAGAATACCTGACACTTTAACCTTCTTAAAACACTTTATATAAATTTTTAGGATTTTAGTTGTGAGGGATTTCTCCCTTTGCTTAAAAAATTTGTAGCAAAAAAAAAAAAAAAAAAAGCTGAATAATAATAGAAAACAATGGTCCTTGGTTTGTATAGGACAAACCACCAGCTCCTTTTCTTTCTGTGAAGTGCATGTTTAGCATAGGAAAATAATGACTATTTCCTTCAGATTTTAATGACAGTGTCTATTTTATTAACATAATTAATACCACTATATCAACTATCTACAGGTCTAAGGCTTTTTTAAACTATATTTTTAGTAGAAATACTTGAAAAGCAGGTGCACAAATACATTTTCACAGTGTGCTGAATGTCTTTATTTACAAGATAGCATTTTATAGTGAATATGAACAAAATGAATGTGCTGGTTGAAATAACTGCTTGATTAAAGACGTGCTGTGAAGATGAACCCCCTAAACTTTCTAATGCAGTCTCATAACACAATAAACAAGGAAAAAATACTAATCCCTTAACAGATCAAAATTATAGAATGTAAACATCTAAATGTTTTAGGGGAATGGATTTCCGTTTTGAGTTTTCTAAAAATAAAAAAAATTATTTCTCTAGCCAATGTTTAGTAAATATTGGGAAATACCAATTTATGTGAAAAATTAACTGTATTCAAACCAAAGGCCACCATGTTAGGGTGGGACCTCTCAGAAGATCTGACATAAAGTGAATTCTGTGAATTATCTGATGATTTAAATATTTTTAAATGTATCAAATCCTTTGAGAAGTAGATTAAATTGGGGCAGAAAATATTGTCCAAATGCCACAAAAAAAAAAACTTGTCATAAACAATTAAAAATTATTATCAGAAGGGCATTCCCAAGCGGGGGTTCTCTTATGGCCTCAAAGGCTCACTCCGATGGTTGTACTTACTCCCAAGACAAACGATCCTCGGAAGAGCTTTCTCTCCCTTTGCCCCTTCATAGAAAATAGTCCAAGATCATTATTTCAGTACCTTTTTCTCCTTTCCTTTCTAAATCTATACATGACGTGTTTTGCAGAATATACAACAATGGTAGGAATTTCACTAAGATTTACCTGAGCAGTCACTTAACATGCAAAGGAGATGGTAATGGTGACCCAGAAGACAAGCAGATGTTTACAAAAGCCTCTTGCATTTGTAACCAACTTTCCAATCATTGATCATTATCATATAACATAGTGTCCTAAAATATAACGGTCACATAAATACTTACAAGATTTCAGTAAAAGGGTAAACTTATCTGAAATTGCGTATTTGGGGGGCTGATGTTTGACTCTAGAGTTTGTCATTTAATGGTCTGTCGGAGTTGGCGGGAGAACTGGCAGTCTTTACCATTTCTTAAAGTTTTAAAAAGAGTTGTAGATTCCACAGGAGAAAGAGATTCCCCCTTAGAAAAGCAAAATGCCAGTGTCTCTCTTTCTCTTTCCCATTCTTCAATTATTATTAGCATTATAACCATTATCTGGGAAAAGCAACGAGTTCTGAAGCATTTCTTCAAGTTGCCCTCTAGCTCCACTTTTAATCCATTAACTAGTGGTCTTGAGTTTGTTGATAACTTTTTTCTCTTTGACCCTCCTGTTCTGGAACCAGATTGTAACCTGTCGCTCGGAGAGATTCGTCGTGGCTGATATCCGCCTCCGTTTGTCCTTGGTAATGAATTTGTTTGTAGCGTATTCCCGTTCGAGTTCTTTTAATTGCACCTTGGTGTAAGGGACGCGCTTCTTTCTCCCCCGCCTGTAGGAGCTGGCGTCTGAGGGATGCGAGACCACGTCTGGAAGATAGGGAAGAAGGCAAGTTATACAGGGATCAGATCCAGGCCAGGACACAGGCGACAGCTCTCTCTGAGCCACCGCCTTGCAGTGCCCGGCTGCCCTTTGCCACCCGCTGTACAATCCAGCCCTTCTGCCAAAACCCGGAGGGTCAGTGGGGAGGGTGGGGAGTTCTGCACTGAAATGAAATCTCCGAGATCCAATGACTACCCCAGCCTGGGCCACTCTGCCGGCACAGAGGCCGGGCTTCGCTTGATCTTCTGGCCCAGCGGCTCAAATCTTAGCCTCCAGGCTCAGAAGACAACATTTCCATGCCTGATTCCTTTCTATATCGCCAAAGCCCCAACACTTGATGCTTCTACACTGAAGGCATTTTTGAGAGAATGAAGACGGGCAATTTGATAAACCTTTTCCAGGTCAATTTCCCATCCTTAAAGTCCATGTCAGGGGCTGGCAAGGGCGGAGCGCAGAGGGAGAAGGAAGCCAGCGAGGGTCCCCACGAGCTTCTTCCCAGCCATCCCTCACCCAGGGAGAGCCAGGACCAGCCCAGCTCCAGGGCAGTGAGGGCAGCGCCAGCCTGCCAGGGTCGGGCTCCCAGGGGTGCAGCACCACTAGGACAGGCCAGGGAGAGAGGGGAAGGGCACGAGGGTGACCCAGGAGCGAGCGGAGGAGAAGCTGGGGCGGAACCGGAGGACAGGGGCTGAGAAGGGGGCGCCATTTACCGGGCAGAGTGGACTTCCAGAGGTGGGGAGGCTGCGCCTGCTCTTTGGGGCAGTACATTTGGCCGTTCCAGCCGTTGGGCAGCGCCCAGGGCTGGTAGCTTTCCATGGGAAGACCCAGGGGCTCGTGGCGCGACTCGCCGGGGCCCCCGAGGCCCGGCACCACCGGCATATCCAGGTAGCCAGGCACGGGCTGGTGGTGGTGGTAAGGCCCGGGTGCGTAGCCCTGGTGGTAGAAGGCGAACTCCTTAGCGCGGGAGCTGAACTCCTCGGCCGCGGGGCCAGCGGTGTCCATGTACTTGTCCGCGAAGGCAGCGGCGGCGGCGGCCGAGGCGGGCTGCGCGCACGACTTGATGGCGTTGGGGTGCGGGCCCATGCGCGCGCAAGGATAGTAGCCGCTGCCGAAATAGCCGTAGGGCAGCGCCGCGGGCCCCGACGAGCTCTGCGCCGCCGCCGAGCAGGGACTGCACTGCTTGGCGGCATCGGCGCCTGCTGGGCCCGCGGGGCCCGGTCCTCCCGAGGACGACGCCGCCGCCGCCGCCGCTGCAGCGGCGGCGGCGGCGGCAGCGGCGGCGGCGGCCGACGGGGGCGCCTCCCCGGGCGCGCTGCTGTAGGCGGCCGCCGCGCCGGGCGCCAGGGGCGCCGGGTGAGCCATCAGGTTGCGGCACTGGTTGGCTGCGGCCGCCGCCGCCGCCGCGGCCGCCGCCGCAACCGAGAAGTTGCCCCCCGCGGCCGCAGCCGCCGGGTGGGGGAAGCCCCCGCCCCCGGCCCCAGCCGCCGCCGCCGCTGCCGCCGCCGCCGCCGCCGCCGCCGCCCCTTCCATGTTCTTGTTGAGCTCGTCGGCCACCAGGCCGCCGCCGTTGTCGTAGAGAAACATGACGGTGGGCTCGATCCAGCGGGGGTGGAGGAGCACGGAGGCTGTCATAGCACGAGCCGCATGGAGAAGACCCCAGTGGCGCTGTTTTAAAAAGCCCCCAAGAAGTGAAGAGCGCGCGGCGCGGGGCCGGGGCCCGAGCGAGGGGGGCGGATCGCGCCCCGCGGGGTCGCGCCAGGCGGCCGCCCATTGGCCCGGCCCCCCCTTCCTCCCGCTCCGCCCACGGCGTATGCAAAGCGGGCGGCTCCAAGCCCGGCTCTGCCCCGTACACTCGCCGTCCCCACCGCCGCCCGCGCCGTCCCCAGAGCCAGCGCCCGCCGCGCGGCCGCGCACCATTCACCCAGGGGAGAGGCGGGGGTTGCGGGAGGGTGGGGGCGGAGGACATGGCGGGCGGGGAGGGGAGGCAACGGCGACCTCCTCGCAGCTCTCTTTCCCTTCCCTTCTCCCGGTGGGGCTCGGAGCGGCGTAAGGCGGGGAGGGGACGGGGCGAGATGTTGGGTGAAGACCTGAGGCGGTGGGGACAGGTCAGGTAAATCTGCGGGCATCTGGGGACGGTAAAGTAGCGCGGCGCAGACCAGGCTGGGTGTTTCCTGGGGCCTCTTGCGCCGTTTTCTTTACAGGTATCCGCGCCCCTTTCTGCAGCGAGACGTCTACACCGACACTTGCGCTTTCGGCTGTCGGCTTCGACAGCGTCGCGATTTGGCTGTCTTTCCGGGGGATCCGTGGCGGGGCGTTTGCGGATGCCCCTGGCTCATGAGTCCCAGGACATTCCTCTGGAAAGCTCGGATTGCATGTAGAAGCTTTCTCCCCTTCTCTGTCCACAGTGTTGGTGGGCAATCTCCTAGACTCGCCTTTAGGCCCATAGGCTCAGGGACGCATTACAATCACACACGGACACAGGCGCATACACAACCAAGTGTACTCTGGTGTCACACTCACACGTTTATATACAGACTTTGTGCCTCACTCTGTCACAGTAGCAACTCTTCTTCCTCCAGAAGCTTTGGGATGGAGAGAGCGATTTCTGGACATTGTTTTTCAGGGCTCCCTTGTCTCCAACCAGTCTGGCCTGTCTTGGAAGGAGTTTAAGAGGAACAGGCCCCAGCTAGGTGCTGAGTTGGGACTCTCTTCTGGGGTTTAATGAGGCTTCACAGAGCCTGGGCTGGAGCTCTCCAGGCACCTGGGCACTCTATCACACTCTGTTTTATGACAAGAGAAAGATATTCTTTGGGGCCATTTCACATCTTCCTCCCCATCTTCCCCAGGTAGGACTGGGGAAGAGCACTGTCTCCAGCCGACAGAGAGGATGCCTGGCCCTCCTCTGTCCATGAACCAGCTCAAGAAGCCTTTTGCCCTCTGTGCCTGGGAAATGCGCGCTCAGGGTGTTGATGCTGGAAGAGCCAAGCAGCCGCCACATTTTGGTGAGGGATTCTGGGGTCCTGTGCCTTTGGGATCATATACCTCCATCTCCGATTGTGGATGTTGTGAGTTGCTCAGATGCCCAGAAAGGGGACTTGCGTTCAAAGTGAAAGTGGGTCATCAGGGTTGGGAAGAGTGCTGGACTCCCATCCCAGGCAGACTGGTGAGCAGCCAGGCTTCGACCTGCCTCCTGTCTCAGCATGCAGACTCAACCCTAAGCTCAAGGCACTGTGAACATCCCCACCCCAGTCTGCTCTCTAAGGTTTCTGGTCTTCCTAAAGTGTCCGAACCAAGGAGGCTGAGCTCCGGCTTTTATCCACCCTGATCCCGGGTTTGTCCAGACCAATGTAAGTGTTGCCCAATAAAACCTTCTATGACCCACCCCCGCCCCCCATACACATACCCAGTGTGCCCTTTCCCTCCTGCCTTTTTAGTAGCTCCGGGTAAATATTGATTTGCCCCCAGTTTACCTCCTCCCTGACTTGGCCATTTGCAGCCTAAAGAACCAGCCCCTGTAGGGACTTGATTTTTGTGTTACTTTCCGGCCCGTTCACCCCCCTTCCTTCCTCCAAGTGGCATTGTAAAACTCATGATGACAAAGAGACAGGGTAGGGTTTGAGGCCCCAGTTCCCAAGGACTTGAGGGCTGTTTTACATACAGGTCAGACATGGCTGGAGGCCAAGGTCAAGTTGAAAGTTGCAGTCTAGCCATAGTGAGAACTGCCCTACAAGCCTGGAGACTCCGGCAGCTTCTAAAGGAATACCGCCCACCTCCCCTCACTCCTGATTCCTTTTTCCTTTAGAATTCCTCCTGTTTCTGGCTCTGTTTGGTTACCCAGCTTTTTTTTTTTACTGCCTTCTCGGAGTTTTGGGGGCAGTGTTTACAGACTCTTCTTCTCTGCCTCCGCCCTGCTCTTGGCCTGAGCTTTGTGCCTCTTCTGTTTTCTAGCCAGTCCGGGAAAAACGAAAACACTGCTCCGAGAGCCCCCACCAGCGGCGCCTGTGCCAGCTCACCTCTGGCCATGGCATGGCGCAGCTGTCTGCTGGGTGCACACGGCGGCCAAGGCCAGCTCCACATTCTTCCCTCTCCCCACTTCGCCGGAGACCAAGCCCTGAATGCAGAGGAAGGACCCCAGCTCCACAGACTGCCAAAGCCAACTGGGTCCCTCCTCACCAAAAATGGTGAGACAAGATTTCATTTTGTCTGCTGAGGAGCCCCAAGCAGGTTTGTTTGAGGGGAAGACTTTGGGTTGCATCTTGAATTAGGTTTTGCTACCTAAGCTTGGTGACCCCCACTAAGGAAGGGCTTCAGGAAGGCCTGAATTGTTTATTGCGCTTTGAGGTGGATCTTTAGTGATCAGGTTATGGGGATGTTTTCTTATTCTAAATATCTGTATCAACTTTTGAAAACTCTTGAAATGTGATTACTTAGGGGGAGGCAGCTTGCCTCTTTCCTTCTTGTCTTAAGATCTCAATCTACATGAAGTGATTTTTCTACCAGGTAACTTAGTGATGTCCTGGCATGCCTTCACTGTTTTTAAAAGTCTGCAGGTCCTGTTAGATATTGAGTTATAGCCACCAGTGGGGATGGTTTACAGAATTTGGATGAACTCTGTGAATAATTTTGGTTTTCCAGGATTTCTCCCTCCTTTGAGAACTTCTCCTCTTTCTCTCCATCTTCTTGTCCATTGCTGAGGGACCTAAGAGATGCATTATAAGTTCCCCATATTTTTTCTTAGTCTCCTAGTCCTCCAGGCAGCCACCAAACCCGCTTGCTGGAAAAAGAAAGGTCGGAGGGCAGTGAAGAACTGGAGAGCCTTCTGGGAAGCAAGCACAGACTCTTTCCAGAGGCAAGGTCAAGACTCCCTTGCCTGCCCAGCTCTTAGGCCAGACCCTCTGAACTGTCCCTCTGCTTTTTTTTGGGGGGGGGGGGCGGTCTACCAGGCTCAGGAATTCCTGTGGGATTGCAGGGAGATGCCTCAATTTGAATCCTGGCAATGACAGTTTTATCCTCAGACCCTTTGTAGGCTAGGCTGGGAAGCCATGGCACCCATTGGGTTCTGTAGACAGCAGATTCATGGCCCATTGAACAAGAGGGCAGCAGAGTGGAGGTGGGTTTTGCCCTGTGCTCCCTGGTTTCCTTTAGAGGGGCCCTCAGTGGGCACAAGGGCAAGATCAGAGGCCAGCAGCTTTTGTTCCAGAAGTTGCCAGATCCTTTCTCTTACCAGCCCCTTGGCAGACATGGCTTCAGACCTCCTAGGGCAGGCTGGGGTGCCCTGAGGGGTTTTGGTTGCTCTGGAGCTGAAGAAAAATACCTTGGATGGGTGTTATTTTAGGGGAGTGTGATGGGGGGGTACTCACTGCCAGCCTGGGCATGAAGCCCTGGGTTCCCAGGGTTGGAAGAGAAGAGGACAAAGGGAAATCCAGGTTTTAATCGAGTTTGATTTTCACTAGCAAATGAAATTTACCTGCTCTCACTTTAACTCGGAGGAGGCTGTCAGCACTGCTCTCTGGCACTATTTCTCTGCATCTATCCAGCATTAGGATAAACATTCCTGGGTTGGTTTTAAAGACACTTTGTATTTCAGGATATTCATGTGTTTCTAATGTATCCAAGCAGCTTTACGAGCTGCATTTGCAGAACATCTTAACCCTCTCCCTCCCAATGCACAAGGGATAGGGGCTCAGAGATAATGGCAAAGGAGGAAAGACCCAGAGAAGGGGAAAGGGCTGAGGAGCTGAGGCTAGCTAAGAGAGAAAGAGAGAAAAGGAAAAACACTTGAACAGGACAGCACTTCCAAAACTGTAGTCAACTGGACTTTTTGGGAAAGATGCAGGTGAGGGACAGCTTTGTTCATGGTGGGGTTTGTGGAAGCTGAACTCTTCCTCAAGGAGAAAGAGTAGGTTTTCAAGAAATTTGGGCCAATGCTGGCCAGTAGGCAGAGAAAGGGCACGTCCTGTGTCCCTTGCTCAAGCTTTAGGGTTTTTGTTTGTGCGTTTTGTTTTGTGTTTTGTATTTGACACATGACTAAGGCAGCACAAGGCCCAGGGTGACAGGAACAGTGTCAGACTGTGGGAAGTCACTTGGCATCGGGGCGATCAAAGGCTAACATGGTGAAAATGGGAGGGTGTGCAAGGTCTAGGAAGATCCACAAAGACCCCTACTTTGTCTTGAAAGATGCCCTCATCCTGTGAATTCTGAGGAGAGTAAGGTTTTGGAGGCAGCAGCTCTGCCTGGTGGATTCTTCCCGCTACCAGACCTTCAAGGCCACCAGTGCCCAGAGTATCAGGAAGGACCCCACTTCCCGCACTGCCCTTTTCTGGTTCTCACAGAAAGCCCCTGAGCAGGGAGGGGAGCGCCATCTCCGTTTTAGAACAATTAGTCCCAAGTCTCCCAGGCTCCCTTGAGGACCCTCTGCACAGCGCCAGCCAGCCAGCGGCGGCCAGACGCCGCAAGTTTGGTGCAAACTTGGGAGTGAAGGTCGAGTTCCCGCCTCTGAGACCCGCCGCCTTCGGGCTCAGGGAGGCGTGGGTGACTCCGCCAGTGGCCGTGGGCTGAGTGACGATGAGGCTGAGTGCTGCCTGCCCGCCCGCGACGCTGCCGCCGCTGCCCGACTCTTGACTGAACCTGGAAACTCAGCCTCCGCTTAAAGGACTGAAGCCTGCGCTAGACGCAGAGGGAACCCGGAGAAGCGCTCCGCGCAGGGAGGAAGCGCCTTCGCGCTGTCCTCAGCTGGCTGGCGGACTCCGGGACCCACGGCACCCGGGGAGTGAGCTCGCCGTCACCCCGCCGGGCCGCTGGGGGAGCGCAGAACGGCCGAGGAATCCCGGGAGGTTGCGGCGGGCGTGAAAGGGGCGCGAGATCTCTGTCCCGACGCCGTCCGTTCGGCCCTGCCATAGCCCAGGAGAAGTCCCACCCGCCGGCCCCCACCCCCTTCCTCGCTCGATGCTCACTCAGGCCCCACGACAAAACAGGAAATCGGCTCTTGCTGGGGGATGGAGGGGCTGTGGATTCATTATGTCAACAAATACACTGAAGACTTTCGAACGTTTGAAGGAAACAGGGGCTTGGACAGTAAACCTGGCCCCGCGGAGCCCCCAGCTTTCTCGCCGAGAAACCGGTGCAGATGACCTGCGGCCACGCGGCCTGGGCCCGCGGGAGTCCGTTCCTCCCCAAAGACTCCCAGGTCCCTGTCCCGGGATGCAAATTCTTAACGCATCGAGCAACTAAGGCATGAAACTCACTAGCGCGGCCACGAGAAAGGGGAACTCAGAACAGAGAGGTGTGATCAGACTTTTACAGGCAAGTTATATGCGGTAATCATAACGATGCGTGTGCCTCATAAGGCACTCACAGATTCACGCATCAGTGAACATGGACATCCAGTGTCCTGTGGGTGAAACACAGGCATCCTACCAAGTCCTGTGAGGAAGAATAGTTCACCCTGTCGGACCAGTCTGGTGACATATTTCGGGGTGGCTGGCTCCCTACCCTTGCTGATTTTTCCATCCACTCACCATTCCTTCACCTGCCGCCGTCTTGCAAATACACCTGTCCCCAGGGGAAGGCAAGCCCCCAATTGGCATTTACCTGGTTTGGATGTTCTTCCCAGAAACTCTGGCTGGCTCTGGGGGCCGCGCCAAGCCGACCAAAAATGCAGACATTTCTTGTGGCTCAGCCGCCGCTCCTTTGTCCCGCTGCTCTGGCCCCGCTTGGCCCAACACTCAGGGAAACGAAGCAGCTCAATAAAAACTTTTGATATTAGTTTTTATGGGTATTTACACTCTGTTCAGAGGAGCTGAGTACGGAAGCTCCATTAATCAGCCCCCAACCTCGGGTTTGGATGCTCAGTTTATGGGTTGAGAAAGGGAGATTGCCGGAAAGAAAGCGTGGGGATGGCCGACTGATTCCGGAGAAATGAAAAAGGGAGCAAGGTCGTTTACCATTCTTGAAAAACGAAGATTAAAAGGGTAATTCCAGGTGCTACCCGATGGACTACGTTTTTATTTGAGCCCCCTGGCAGGGATAATTTTTCCACCTTTGCCTAACACATTAAAAAAAAAAAACCTTTTTATTATGGAATTTTCCAAACACACAGAAAAGTACAATGAACCCCTATATACCCAACTCTTAGTTTCACCCCGTGTTATCATTTTGTCTTTCGTGTTTCATTGTCCACTTCCACTCTTTTCTTTTTCCTGGAGTATTTTAAAGTAAATCCCTGACATCACATCATTCCACTCCCAACATAGGATTTTGAAGATAAATTTCAAGGTTGAACAAAATTACTTAACAAAAGGAATCCTTCCTATGTCTGAGGGTAAG